ATCACATGATTTTCTGGAAAGACTACGATTTCTTTGTGATATTCCACCTGCTTGGTAAAAGTTGAACCCAGATTACTTGTCCATGAAATACTAGAGACCATGGAGAGGACTAAAAATTCAAATAATTTAAAAAAAGAGAATGATTTCGTCTAAATATGCTATATTATGTCAAAAAAGGCATTTCGCCCTTTTTCTTTTTGGGCTGAGCAGGTTAGGCAAGGCTGCAGGTCTGGGTTTGGCACGCTGGTTTGCTGGTTCAGATTTTTCTTTTTTTTCTATTATAAAAGTGAATAATATGTAAAAATATTTAAAGCTAAATTGACGTGTCCATTCCTATGTTTGTCATCAAGAAGACCTTTAGTGGTTTTTCTCCTGCTCTGGCCGTCCCATCCTCGCTGCTCAGCTCCATTGTTATGATAATACTATTGTGGATTTCACGCTGGATGTGCAATCTGTCGATCGTCCATATTTTAGAAGGAAAACTGCATTCATTTATAAGATCAAATAGTACCTTTTCGGCTTACTTTATTAGGCTTTGATTGCCAAAACTGACTTCGTTTTTATTTACCAATAATTAAATTTGAGAAAAGTAAGAAATGCTACAGAGCTGCTGCAGAATGCCCCTACGTAAAAAATATAATAATTATATTGTATTATTTCCACAGCAGGTTAAAAAAGACTACAGCTCTCACTGCAGTATGTTACTATCAGCTCACTGTTGCGTGAAACAACCGCATTACAAGGCCATATCGGAATAGCTTACATGAATATTAATAATTTTTTTTTCTTACGTTGGTTTTGAGTGCACTGACATTTTGGATGTGATTTCTCTTGGTTTGGTTGGATTCTTTTCTTACGTTTGTGCAACTCTAAATACGTAAAGAATCGATTCATTGACCAATTAATAAAACGCCTAATGATTTGGCCTACGTTTGTAGAACATGCAATAATTTTTTTACGATTCGAATACGTTCAAAGTGATGGTGTGGCACAGGCCACTATCAAGGAGAGCAGCTTATCAAAAACATAAATCAGTCAGAGCTCTGTTGTTTTTATGCCTACATGGATTTTCTGCTGTTATGGCTGCAGTTAAGTACGTGACAATTTGTCATTCCGTGAACAAAAGACAACGTCAGTGAGAGGTGATATAATTTTAACGTTAGTCCAGACATTGTCTGTTGTGTGTCACTCCAGTGCGTGTTCCTGTGTGTGTGTGTGTCTGTCTGTGGTTTTCTGTCTGTGATTTTGTGTGTGTGGGACAGAGTGACAGAAACAGGTGCCTCCAAATTGATAGGTTTGAATAAAAAGAATATTTAAAATGTTAATGAAAGCTAAAGCAATATGGGGATCTGCTGTTGGAGAATGTCTGCTTGTCCTTACATTTGCATGTGATTGTGCTGATTTAACACGTCAAGTGTGTGCTTCTGTTACCCACGTAGAAGTGAAACCTGTAAAACACATTTTTGAAAAAGGTTTGGCTGTAGTTATTTTGCTTATGTAGCCTATCTGCATTCCATCATAAACAAAGTACCTTGAAGCTCAAGGTGTAGTGTAGTGACACCATGGTTAAATGCTTTACAATGATCTCTCTTATTTGTATTCTTTATTAATGTAGATTTTCATTTTTATTTGAATTTGCTTGTGCATTTTTTTATTTTTTTTTAGCTCCGTTTGACACAATGAAAAGATAGGTGAACACATTCGATATGCTGGTGTGCGGGGAATGTCTCATGTATGTTTGTGGGTCACAGACAATAAGCACATAAATGCGCAGTTCTCTTAAAAATAATACATACAGAAAGTCAAAGTTTAGCTAATATAAAACAGAACAGAATAATTGTCCTGATATCATTAAACATATGCCTTGAGACAGTTCAACCACAGATACGAGCAGAGACGTTCTCTGTGACCGGCACTGTGAGGTAATTTCCATAAAGATAAATATAAAGTTGCAATATTTTACCATTATTAAAGCGCTTGTGAATGCACATTTACAATTTAAACACATTCTGTCTCTGGCAAACACACTCAAACATGCACAGGCCGTACTGTAAAACACACCATGCCTTCCATGCCCTCAGGTGTATGCCAGGGGTTTGTTGTTTTCACTGTAATATATAGTTAGCCCTTCCACCAATTTACCCTGTCAGTGCTAATGGGGCAATTAACCACTGTGATACCCCCCAGGCAGAAGGAGAGCCAAAAGCTCTCCAACTCCAAACTTGTCTTTATGACATTTATATGACAAAATGTGGGGGAAGCTGGGGACCCATCTGACACCTTGGAGGGTCCTTAATGTCACTCCCTCCCTTGCCCCTGCCCCTTTCTGCCCCAGGGTATGGCACCGAGCAGGAAGTGCAATACATCATGTACAGGAGCGGCTCGGGCCTCATTCAGGAGGGACAAAACTTTGTACTGCGTCCAAAGCGTCAATGGGACACCTCAGATTTACACACTGCGTCCCGTTCTGCATGATTATAAACTGGCCTCATAGAAACACGCTTCCAGTTAACATACTCCAACTTGACCTCTCCCTTCATTTATGCCTTTTTGGTGTCTGTAAGTCCCTTTGTCTGTGCTCACATTCCCCCTGTCCTTCTTACATCCCCAAGGAGGCAATAACCTCCCTAGCAAGAGCTTCCCCTTGAGCCGTTGTCATAGTAACTTGTGGGCTGGTCGACATGACAACCCCACCATGGTCCAGAGATAGATGATAGGCCAGAAATGGGGAGGGAGAAGGCATATGGGGGATTTGCACCCCCTTTAATTTGGTTTGCCTGATTCTGATTCAAAATGTTTTTTTTCCCCCCTCTCTAAGGGCGAGGTGCAGCCAGCATCAACCTACTTTACATTTACGCAGGTATTTACAGATCGCAAACGCCGTCTGCACGCAACTCGATTTAACGGTTACCTGCATATCTTCGCGGAACCTGAATGGACATTATTAAGACAATACTAATATTTCTCAATGTCACGTGAAAAGAAAATGTAATAGTAAAACATGCAAATGCTCAAATATTATTTTTCTTTCTTGTATTCCTAAAGAGGCCTGAAAAAAACTGCTGTCATTTCCTGCAAAAGCAAGTGAATTTAAATTTAAAAACGTGTGTGTTTTCATGCTTTGCCCTTTTTGTGAACTCAAGAGTATGCTTTTTACTGTTAAACCAAATTCAGTAGGAGGAAAAACTAGGTCCCAGGAGCAAAAAGGAAAAAAAAAAAACCCAACTTCCTAAGACATCCTAAGATTCCATAAAAGTAGTAGTATGACTGTCCCAGTACCAGCTGATGTGCTGTTTCACAAGTTAAAAAGGTTTAGTATGACTACAGTTCACTGCGTCAGTGTGCCAAACATGCTGTCTGTTGAAAAGCATCAGTGACTGTTTTAAAAATAAAATTCCCCAATGTAAATTTTCCAGAACATTTACGGAATATTACTCGTGTGCTAGACGCAGCTTGTAGTAGCAGATAGCTGTCTAAGTAGATTTATACAAACACATTACAGTTTTTTCTACGTATTGCATTTGTCCACTTTTTTTTTTTAATAATCAGTACAATGGCCCATTAAATGGAGGACTCTAAAAGAGGAAACATCCTCCTTAGACATCGTACGGGGAATGATGAATCCTCCCGAGCTCCAGGGATGCTGCCCCTCAGCTGACCCTGATCTCTGACCCCTGGGCAGAGGGTAGCCAGCAAAAAGAGATGCATCCTATAAGAATCAATAAGTATCATATGAATCAGGACTATTAAATAATGTTAGTTTTCAGATATATCAAATGTTTTGTATTTAGCACATAGAAAGATTTTACAGCCTAACAAAGGACAATATAAATTAAGTCTAGACAAGGACAAAAAAAAATAATTAAAACAAAACAGAGACAACTGAATGACAAAAAAAAACCTTTCAGAGCTTCGTGATGCTGTTGGTGAAGATTTGTCTGGTTGTAAACTGCAACAAGAACAATGTTTGTGTTAATAAATATGTACACATTGTTTGCCAAGATAATATGCATTAGATGTAATTTTTAATTATTTGACATTTTATTTGTTGCCTTTATGATATAAATAATTTTATACCAACACACTTTGAGGCAAATATTTGCCTGATATAAGTGTGTATCAGAAATAGGTTTGCTCACACACTGGGCTGCCTCTATGTCATGTTGACACGTTTCCTCGCAAAGCAAAGCTGAAAAGCTCATCTTCTACCTCAGGTGTTCTCACGTTTGTTCATATCACAAAGCTGCACAGTTCGGTTTTGTTTTTAATATCTTGCCTCTTTACTGTCATTCTCACTCAGTCAGGTTTTCTCATCAGACCTCGTCTTTGTGTGACTGTTTCTGTTTTGTTTTTGGATATATTTGACGTTTGAGCGTCCTGTCATTTTTTCGTAGCCTCTGCCTTTGACAGATGAATTTCCCCTTGGGGATCAATAAAGTGTATCGTCTCATTTCATCTCATCTCATCTCATCACCATGGCTTTGGCCTCCTACAGGAGGACATTAATAACGTTAATGTTGGATGCAGATGAGTGTGCCTACAGGTAGCCAATATTTAGATTAAGTCATACTCATCCGTTGAACCATTAGTAAGAGGAGATACACAGACAGACAGCCAGACAGACAGATAGATAGATAGTAGACAGACAGAAAGCTAGACAGACAGACAGACAGACAGACAGATAGACAGATAGATAGATAGATAGATAGATAGATAGATAGATAGATAGATAGATAGATAGATAGATAGNAGATAGATAGATAGATAGATAGATAGATAGATAGATAGATAGATAGATAGATAGATAGATAGATAGATAGATAGATAGAGGATGTTGATTCAAGCGTTGTTTATTCAATTTCCACTTCTCATTAAATGGCTCCGCTATAAAATATGCCTGCAAAACTGAACAACAGCGCCGCTCAATGGAGGGATCTGCAAGTGACGGCAATCGAGCAGCAAATGCGCTGAATGTCTCTTCTCGGGCACCGTACATTCGCGGAAGTTGTCAAAACATTATTGAGGGAGAGGTTGTGGCGGTATTTTTTGGATAATTTCAGGAGAAGTTAGGTTTTAATAGTTATTATTCCTCTTCCATTGCAGGAGTGTGAATATGGACGATGAATGGGAGGAGGAGGTATGAAATACAAACATGGCGTTCAGCGTTTACTGTATAACGGAACCAGTATTAGCTTCATGTAGCTAACAAGTTAGCTAACCAGACAGAAGAGTCCTGGGCCATATATATGGACCACATGACGACTGACTTAAATACGACTTTATTGTGTTAACTTTAATTCTTTAAGTGGGAGTTTTAAGGGCAAGCGATTTGATTTAGGCTTGTATGTATACGGAAATCCCCTAATTTAATGTCAGTGCACATGGGATTGTGTAAAGCCCTTGGCAGAAGTAGCAGAATGTACATGTTTTTGCTTTACATCCTTGTTTGTCTCCAGAAAACCCTTTGTATACCATGTGTGGAGTGTACGTTTATTAGGCACATCCCTGTAATTTAAAACATCACTCGTCTTTCGGTGTGTTTAGGAGCAGCTGGTTGTGGTGGAGCTCTCTGGTATCATCAACAATGACTTTCTGTCCAAGTGTCGGGGCACATGCAAGATACTGGTGAGTCTGGGGAAGTCCTGTGTGTATTTATATAGACATTATTGAAAGTCTCTCAGTGCAGCTTCACAGATGTAATTTTCCCATTTGTGTTCAAGGATATTGACAGTGAGAGGCCCATGATGCAAGCTGGACAGTACGTGTTTGCAGGGGAATATGAAGGTAAGAATAAACAAACAAAAACTATGTGAAGAAAAAGAACCAACTCCGTGTTATTATTGGCTTTTGCCTGTTATTAGAAGAAATCTGCCCTCTGATCCTTTCCCTTGCTCTGCACTGTCAGTGATCGGCTATTGCAGTTATTACAGTATAGAAATAGAAACACATTTTTAGAAGCTTTCGTTCCAAATAGAAAAGTATTCAAGTAATGCTGGCTGAAAAAGCCTGTAATAAGCATTAAAAAGAATGCTCAAAACTTTATTTCTGGCTGTCGTTCTCTCTTTAAAGAGGCTTTGGGAACTTGTGTGCTGTTTGAAGAGGCACCACCAACCGGTACGGCTCTGCTCAAACTTTTTTTTATTGTTTATAGCTGTGTCTCAGTTATACTTGAGGTTTTTTCTTACGGTTTCTTATGGGATTTGTCTGCAGGAAAAGACCAGAGTGGTCCAGACCTCAAGTACATGTGCCACACTGTGAAGAAACTCACGATGCAACGAATCTTTCTCACTGAGAAGAGAGAGGGCGAGACGAGCTCAGGTCAGCCATAATATCTAAAGACTAAACATTGTACCAGATTTGTTCTCCTGATACAACTAAGACACACAATCATATACTACGACTGCTTTTTAGGACTAGATTGACCTTCTCGTTTTATCACCAGCTTGACAATTTGTGTTGTCCCAGCAGGAAGTGGTGGAGGTGGTGAAGAGAGTGAAACATCCTATCAGTCCATTCAAGAAGAAAGTGATAACCAACAAGGAGAGACAGAAGAACATCTGGACAATACGAATTTGGAAGACTTAACAGAAAGCTGATATGAGGAGACTTAGATTTATTCTGACCTCCCTGTTTGAAGATGAGACACCTGGATTTGTGTGGCTGTGAGGAACTGCGTCTTTAAAACTGACAATTTAACGACAGTTGGTTGATATTAGTCTTATCACAGCGAGACCGCACCTTACAGTCATTTTGCTAGAGGAGGGAAAAAACACTCTCTTGTATGTATTTCTTTAAACCAATCACAGTCGTAGTGAATGGAGATAAGAAAAGGCTGTAGCCGCAGCATCCCCTCCAAACAGTGTTGTGCTGAAGATGTTTTGGTAAAACATTTGTGTACAGGGAGGTGAGCGCTGTCATTGAAATGGACAATTCACAGAATAAAAACAACCGGGCTGCCTCACTGCAAGATCCAAGTAAATTTTCAGTGTGGTAGGTTGGTGCCTAGTGGTTGTAGCTGTTATTGACATTAATACAGTGTCATTTTTAAAAGGTGAAGAGGATTTTGAAAACAGTAACAGGTAGATAGCAAAAGGGAAAGAGAAACTGTCCAATGACATGTATGTACCTTCAACCCACCTCTCGTGAGTTAATTTTACCCAAAAGGAAAACAGATTTTTTTTAAAAATCATCGTATAAATCAGATCCACGTAGGACAGCAGTTACAGATAGGTGGTAGGCACTGTCAGCTTAACAGCTGAAAATCCTGTGGAATCATCTATTTCTGTTCCCAGCGATCACAATGAAGACCATCCAGCAAAGGGAGACAAACCTTTTTTAATGTGCAAGGTCATAGTATATGTGGTTCATTCTCCAATTTGCTATCTATACATCTCAAGAAGTGAAAGGAGTGCTTGACTTCAAACTTCAGAGACGATTTTTCTGATTTGTGATGAAGTGCTTTATCCACTGATTTACCGATTTTTCGTGTTGAAATGAAGGCTTTAAATGTGTTTATTAAATAAACTGGGGCCCGTAGGAGGCTATTTTTTTATGTGTGAGTCTTATTGTTTGGAATTTGTTCTACACTTGTTTACTGTGCACTTGTTTACAAAGCAAACGTTTTGTCAATGGGGTACAATTTTATAAAGAAATGCATATTCACTGAATAAATATCATTATTTATTTGTGGTATGTGGTGTTCGTCGTCTTTCATTGACCTATGATTATGAGCTAAAACGCACTGGTTCAGAGCTGTTCGCGTACAGCCCAGTAACTGTCAGTTTTTATGAATGAACTGGATTTTGTTGACTTTGAGGACGTGGCGGTTCTCGGCCAATCCAATCAACGGTGCTCCCGTGAAGTGGACCAATGAGCGGGCGACATCACACTGCGCTTCTCGGATCCTGATTGGTCGGTTCGCGTTTTAGCACAGGAAGTGTATGGGTGTGTTTCCGAAGGGAGGACCTAAGGCGTCAGCGACGAACTTCCCTGAAGACACCGGTGAGTTGTCCTGGTAAACTGTGGTGTAAAAAATGCAGAAAGTGACTTAAATATGTTTCTCCTATAGCGTGTGCTTTAAAATACTAAGTCAGGGCGATTGTGTTGATGCTTATTTGTGTGCGTTTGACGAGTGAAATTGCTCGTCGGAGGGTGAAACTAGCGGAATGCGGGGCTAGCCAGTCTGATGTTAGGTCCTGACGGTGGCTAATTGGGAATAGCGGTCGCCAACTGTTGCTGTCCGGCTGTAACTCACAAATGTCGACAAGATTTATGACTTCCAGCCATGCAGACGTGAGAGCCTTAACGTTGTTATGTGTCGTGCTAAAGCAGCAAAGATAACGAGCATCAAGAAACGGAGATATGGGCAAAAACAGGACACTTTTGCTCACAATGAAGCAACATACTTTAATTAAAAGGCAACTATCATCATTGCAGTAGAAGTGGTGGAAGCTAATTTGTACTTTTAGGGTTTCTGTACATGTTTGAAGTGATAACATGTTTAAAATACGAGCTGCTCTTTGCTTCAGTCTTTAAAGTTAAGACACCTGACAGCAATTTACTTTAATTTGCTGTATATTTTCAAAGAGAAACTACAGTCAGCTGCCACAATTAATTGAGTTTAAACCTATGCAGTCTATTACAACAGTCCTGTAATTGATCCCACCTTAATATGAGTCATAATTAGATCAGATTGTGTTGTTTGAACTGATTTCATTTATGGGATGACTCAACATGTTGGTATGTGGCAGTGTTGTACTTTAAAGGCTTTCACTGGGACGTGTGTATCAGGCTGCCCTTATTAGTTTTAAGTGCTGTGGACAACATAATCCAAGCACCAATCTGGGAAAAAGAAAATAACAATTACCTCTTCTGTAAAACAAAACTATGACAGCAGGATTTTGTGGTTTCTTTTTGTTTGCAATATGCTGTATTAACCTGTGAAGGGTGGCAACTGGGTGTTGTTTACAATAGGAATTGTGTACAATTAAGTTTAATAATTTCAAAATTGTTGTCTTTTTTTGATTGGTGTTAACATTTAATGAATCACTGGTCTGGTGGCTTTATAAAGCATGGGATAGCATCTGTTACTAAGTACCTGAAGTAGAACAAATAAGGGATTGCATCAGCTGGAAAAGATTAGCCACGGCTGAAGCATGGCATGTAGAGAGCTGAGTAACAGCATCAGACAGGATCTGACTGTATGCCATCACGAAAATGAGCAGGGTAAACCTACATAAGAATAATATTTTTTAAAAAAGGTTGAGCTGGTGTTGTTTGAGATAGATGTTTGAGTATTGATCGCTGCTTTTCGGTGACTTTTTTTTTTTTCCTTTTAAACCCTGGTTTAGACGGTGTTTGTACATGAGAAGGATGGAGCTGCGGCCACTTGTCATGTGCTTTGCTCTCTGTGTGGTTTATGCCACCAGCAAACCAACAGAGAAGAAGGACCGCGTTCACCACGATGAGCCTCTCAGCAACCGAGAGCACGATGACGCAGATAACTTTGACTATGACCATGAAGCCTTTCTTGGACAAGAAGAAGCCAAGACCTTCGACCAGCTCACACCAGAGGAGAGCAAGGAGAGGCTCGGGTAACTACACGTCGCCTGCTCTTTGGTTTTCTGGGATATTTGCAGTTATATGAAACTCTTAATGTCAGTCTATTTGTTAAAGCAGACATCTGAGGAATTACAGTTTTTATTAATTCTCCTTCTTAGGTTTTAGTTTTTCATTTATAGCAAGAGTATATATGCTTTATACTTTGCTGTGGTAATGACCTAGTTTCACCTCAGGGTGCAGCAGCACAGTTCATGTGAGGTGATGATCGTAAAGGAAAAAAAACATGAGTGTTTGCTAAATTTCCATCATCGTTTCGCTACAGCATGCTGGTTGAACGTATAGATGAGGATAAAGATGGCTACGTGACTGTTGAGGAAATGAAGAGGTGGATCAAACATGCACAGAAGAGGTGGATCTATGATGATGTGGATCGACAGTGGAAGAGTCATGATCTCAACGGGGACAACATGGTGTCCTGGGAGGAGTACAAGAACGCCACATATGGATACATTCTTGGTACAGCTGCAGAGAGTTTTCATTTTATTCATTTGATGCATCCCAGTAGTGTTACCTGCACACTGTATGGGTGAATACACAAATTTACTTTGCCACACATGCTGAAAAAAGTTTTGACTTCTGCCCTGCAGATGACCCCGACCCTGATGATGGCTTCAGCTACAGGCAGATGATGGCTCGTGACGAGAGGAGATTCAAAATGGCTGACCACAACAATGACATGAAGACCGACAAGGAAGAGTTCACAGCCTTCCTGCACCCTGAGGAGTATGACCACATGAAAGACATTGTAGTGCTGGTGAGCAACACACTTACAGAGGTTTTAAATGGTGACAATGATGTTGTGTCTTTTAATGTTTTTCTCACTTCTCTGTGCTGTTTTTTTCTATAGGAAACTATGGAAGACATTGACAAGAACGGAGATGGTTTAATTGACCTGGATGAGTACATAGGTGGGTTCTTACAGCATGTTAGCATCATCAGTTTGTACCACAAGATTTTGGGTCATCAGAAATGTCAACAACAACAAAAAAACCCATAAAGAGAATGCAAAGTTGTTTGAGGAGCCAGTTCGAGAAACCCTTATTCATTGTGCATGTTTGGTAATCCACTGTCGCAAGTATGTATGAGGAACATTGCAACATTATCAGCATTCACTCCCTCACTCAGGTCACTCTTGTCTTTTTGTGGTCTAGGTGACATGTACAACCAGGAGGGAGACAACACAGAACCTGAGTGGGTGAAGACAGAGAGGGAGCAGTTTACTGAATTCAGAGATAAAAACAAGGACGGGAAGATGGACAAGGACGAGACCAGAGACTGGATCCTGCCCAGTGACTACGACCACGCTGAGGCCGAGGCCAAGCATCTGGTGTATGAGTCAGATACAGACAAAGTACGTACAGTCAGAATTCTAAATGATTTCATTAGAAACGTGTGTTTGCTTCCTGCGTCTTTCACAGAGTATTAAGGGGGAAGTGAAACTACATGTGAAAAGACACCTGAATAACATGATATGTTTGAGTTTTAAAACGCTGACAGTCTCTGGTCTTCCCGCTATGGCGAACCAAAATCACAGAAAAATGTCCTTTGTAGACTTTTGAAATATGTTTATTATGTAATTAACCCTCTGAACCCGAAAACCTGCCAGTAGGATTGAAAAACATGACATCTTTAAAAACAAATCATCAAAATTACACCATTTATCTGAACCAGAATGTGTAAAAACTAAGAGAAATTGTCTCCACACTTTACTGCACTGGGCATGTAAAGTGTGGGGACAAAAAATATATGTTGTAGAATATCTCTAGTATAAAGAGTGAAAAATGAGCCCACAGTGAGTAAAAATGTGACAGGAGCAGAAAATGCTCAAAAACTGCTTGGGGTTCAAAGGGTTAACACGGGAAAAGTATATTGTGTTCATTGCAACAGTGACACAAAGACAGACATACATAATATAATACATACGTGTAATAACCCAAAGCACCTCATTAGCACTCGTAAACAGTTACAGTCTTTGTATACTGACACCAACAGAGGGCTGATCATGTTTGTTCCTCTCCCTCCGTCAGGATGGCCGTCTGACCAAGTCAGAAATCGTGGAGAAGTACGACCTGTTCGTGGGCAGCCAGGCGACCGACTTTGGAGAGGCTCTGACTCGACATGACGAGTTCTAACGTCCCCCCCTTGCCTCCAGAGACTGTGTGCTCGCCTTGTGTACAACATTACTGACTCAACAGTAGATGGAGTATTTTTAAACAAGAGGAGCTCGTCTAATCCAGCGCCACGGACAATAATTTATTTGATTTCTTGAATGTGTCCCATTGTACACACACACTAACGTTCTAAGTAACGTGTACATGCTTGACCACAGTGTCCTCACGTTCAGTTGCACCTCATTGGGATATATCGCCAGCCTTTGCTCTGCTTCCACACGCTACCCTGTCCGCGCCCAGATCAGGCAGCGGACTAGAAGTGGTAGTCAACACTTTTCCTTTTCCCCTGAAAGAATGATTTTTGTGAAATAGCCATGTTTTGTTACAAAGCCTTTTATAGATCAACAAGGTTCAGGCTTGCCGTCTACACAGGAGTTTGCCACACCATTTCCTTTTGCAATGCACTGGACTGACTTTGTCGTCATCAGAATGTGTAACCCTACTCCTCTGTGTAGTTGGGTCCAAATTGAAAACGCTAGTCGCTCATTCACTTGTTAGATGTTTTTTTTTCACTTATTGATGCGGTAATGCTGGAGTACAGGAAGTGTGGAGTAAATACTAAATCCAGTGACAATGAAGACCATTTGGCCTAGTGCAATACAGTACCATGAGTGGGACCCTGCTGTGTTTGCTATACTCGTCCCCAAAGCATCCATGTAAACACAAACTGTCCTACTGTTCTTTTATTTTTATTTTTTTGACAAGGGCAAGTTGTGTTGAAGGAATCTAGAGGATTTTGAGACTGATGGATGCTTTGTACTCAAAGCTGCCTCCTTTTTTTTTTTTTGTCTTTATCACCTCAATAGTGTGTGTGTGTGTGCGTGTGTGTTTGTGTGTGCATGTGAACCTGTGTGTACATATATTACTTGTATTCTTGATGACTTACTTCCAATTTTTTGTTGTTGTTTTTTGATGTTTTGTTTGATGCAGCTGCAACTACTAACTCATTTGTGTGCCAAGCAAAAAAAATATACTGTCCTATTTTGTAAGCAGTTTGGAAGAAAAAAAAAACGTTCCTCCCTTCAGATATTATCCTTCCCAAAATATGTTTGTTATGCTTGTATTCTCACTACCACCATTTATAACCACTGTTAATAATTTTTATGGCATAGTATAATGTATATGATAATGTTTTTTTTACAGGCTCACTGCAGCAACAAGTCTTTCACTAGTGACTTTACTGTAAATAAGTTGTTGTTCTGCAAATTGAGCACTCTAACAATCAGGTCCAGTTTTTGTGATTGAGAATAATGTCTCAATAAATACAAACAGAAATGGAGTTGTTCGTCCGCCTTATTCTTTTCCTTTGATGTTGTAGTTGTCAGTCAGCTGCTCTTTCATTTCCAGACCAATTTCTATTCTATTTCACAAAACTTTTCATGGAATTGGGTGGAAGTTGAAAAATGTTGATGCTGCATATCCTTTATAGCTCTCAGCATTTTTTTTTCCAGAGTCCCTCCCCTTCTGTGAATCCGCTGTTTCCTGGTTCCATTCAGGCTGTTGACCCGCTGACCTCTGGATTGTTGTTTCAGATGCTCGGTTTCTCGTCCTCACTATATCAGCCACGTTTCCCTTAATCTCCCCACAATAAAGCAGACGCTGGCAGTTTTAATCTACAGACACTTGAAATGTCAGAGCTGAGCTGAATACAGATTTAATGTTTGTAGTATATTTGTCATACTATCGCCTTCATTTCTATCAAGCAACTGAAGCTTAAAGGGTTTAATTCTTGTTTGACATACTATATCTCATTTTTTTAAAAATTTATTCAAATAGGGTTTAATTAACATGAAAGATTTATTCAGCAGCTTTTCCTTTTTAAAGATGAGCTTAAAGTAAAGTACTTTGAACCGAACTCATTCACTAAAACTGATGTGCAAATTGAAATTTTTGATTAGCTGATTCATGCTTTGTTATCTGTCCTTCAGCCACCTAATACCCTTCAGTAAGAGCCTTGCCCTCAAAACCCTCAAAGGTTTTACTAACAAATTTCTTTCTGTTAATATTGCATGGAGATCTGCACAGATTCTAGACGAGCAGCATGAATCTGCACCGGGTGAGAAGCTACTCTTTGATAATCCTACAGAAGAAGAGGGGCTATTGGACAGCACATTTGCAGCAGATTGAGAAGGTATCCACATCTTTCACTTCTGAACACTTTGTACATTTAACTTTAGATGAATTCAGTTGCCTTTTGTTCATCAGTAACCCTTAATGAGCAAAAGAAAATATGTTTTATGATTTTTTTTTGTCTGAATTTTATCCAAAATTTAGCTGCATTCATTCTTTTTTCAGATCTGTCGCCCCTCCCCGACACCAAGAGACAACCCCATAGCATGATGTTGCCACCACCGTGCATCGCCATAGAGATGGTATTCTTTCCTCACATGCTCTCTGAGTTCTTTTTGGCAAACTCCAAACAGCCTTTTTTATGCTTTCTGTTTGCAAAAGTGGCTTCCCGTCAGTTGCCTTGCCATCAAGGCCTGACTAATCTGGCTGAAATGGCCGTTCTTCTGACATGTTCTCCTGTTTCTGAAGACGAATTCTGTAGCTCAACAGTTAGTTCGGTCTGAAGGCGGACTCTGTGAAGAGTCCTGATGGTACCAAACTTCTACCACTTCACAAATAATGAAACCAGTGTGCTCCTGGGAACCACCTAAAGCTTTAGAAATAATTGTATACAGTTGGTCTGATTTATGCCACATGAAGATCTACTGAGAGTTCCTGGGACTACCCAGCTTGACTTTCGTCCTGACATGCAGTGTGCATTGTGAAACCTTAGATGACTGCCTTTCTAAAATATCTACATTAATCATTCATTTTGCCATAAGTGAACTCCAATCAAGTTCTACACACATCTTACAAATTATTAAAGCAAATAAGATGCACCTAACCACAGTTTGAAGTGTCATAGCAAAGGGTCTGAATAGCTTTTTTTCCACTTGTCATTGTAGACCGGCAAGAGAAAATGACCAACTTTACTCATGTTCACAAAAATAAAAACTCAGGGTGCTTGTAGAGAATGCAAAACATATAATTCGGCATTACACTATATGAGCGATTTGAACAACACAATACAGCACTCCTCAGCTTTTTAAAACATAAATCGGCACAGAACCAGACAGGGCATAAAACTGCAACTGCACTTTTCCTTTGTTTTTTTTTAAAAGTTAAAGCATTCCATAGTCCTGAACCTGAAATATAACATTGCTTGTGTTACCATGGACTTGGGTGTCCTGGTTGTGATGAGATTTTTGAAATATCCCGAAGAATCTCCATCATATCCCAATTCCAGGAAACCTGGATAAGGTTTTATCCTGGCTTTGAGAAACCTGATAAAGCATAGTAAGAACCCTGGGATACTAGTGACATCACTGATTGGATGATCTTTTTTTTTCCATAGGAAAGAGCACAGCAGCAGTTTTCACAACAGGATTTGTTGTTGATTTACCCTCATCATTCGTAAACAATCAAAGAAAATACATTTTGTTTGTGACAACATGGTACACTTGTGCTATTGTGTGAAAATATATTGTATCCTAACAAAGTCTATCACAACTTTAACTGGATTGCGTGTTCCTGGTAACTCAGTTCCGGTTATTTAGCTATGTGGTATTCATAAAGCAACATCGTGAATTTAATCGTGTTTTTTGTTTACATACATATATTGTGGTAACATATAGATGTCTTTTTTCATGTGGTCCATCATGTGTGCATTTTTCTTCCATCCTTTCATGCAGCACCTGCAGCACAGCACAGCCAGACTCAAGCGCTTCTTTCTTGTTCGATGGCTTGTCTGCCGTCATCCACCTTCACCTCTTCCATTCTGTGTCGTCCGCCCCATCAGTCTCATTTCCTGCGATATCATAGTGACATCACTTACTAAATGTAATAAATATAGGATTGCAGCGAGCCATCACCCTCAACAGCTCCTCTTCGTCTGGCTCTAGCTCATCATCACTGTTCTTGTCTGCATCTTCATCTCCCAGAAAACCATCATCGTCCTCATCGCCAACCCCTCGACCATCTTGAGTGTTTCCTGAGTTTGTCGAGGGCCTTCTGTCGTCAGATGGGCTATTGGCATCTGCCGTCCCATCCTCATGACCTAACTGGTCTGTCTGGTCCAGTGATGTGGAGGGTTGGTCTGACTCTGCGTTCGGAGTCACTGATGTTCGCTCAGGTGTTTCGGGAGGCGTATCGGGTGGAGATGTGTCTATCTGTACCAGTGTGGCTTTCACAGGGGAGTGCTCTGGCGTGGATGGGGGTGTGCCCGTCTGCTTGGGGACGGGTGTGGACAGTAAAGGTGAATATGAGGATGTCTTCACGCACGGTTTGTGGAAGGGTTTGTCAATTTCTGCTGAAGCAATTCGGGAATGACTGCACGGAAGGCTGGACTGAGAGGAGGGGCTGGTGGCAGGTTCAACAAGGTCGTCATCGGTAGTCATTTGCGAATTAGGACGGTTTAAAGGTGTTGCAGGACTAGGGCTAGGGCTGGGGTTGGATTGTGTCTCAGTTGTGTCCAAGGCTGCATGAGGTGATGAGCAGGGGCTTTCTTTCAGCGGGGAAGCATCTTGGGTCATATGTGAGGAATTTACATCCACAGTGGCTGGGTGGGAGGTGGGTGAACTGGAGGAACTTTTAGTTGGTGTAGATGCATTATTACTGAAAGTCACAGGGCTGCACACAGGTTCAGTTGGCGTGAAGCTGGTGTCAGGTGCAGCAGCTGTTCTGGGTGGGGCGGGTCCTCGGCAGCAGGGGAGGTCTTGGTGGGTGTTGACGCCTGGCTTGTCCGGGAAGCTGAAGGAAGGATTGCACGTTCCGTATTCTTCGTTGTTGTAGGATGCTTCCTCCATGTGAGGCATAGCAGTTCGGTGACTCACCTGAGGAGCAACCACAGTCAACAGGTTAACATCTGGAATAAAACCACTTTTGCTTTTAAGAGACAGGGCGAATGAATGGTTCTCAACAACATAACCTAAAGTTATTGAATGAATGAATTACAATAATTAGAGCTTCAATAGAAAACAGATAACTCACCAGTTGGAACCACCGTAAACTCTGTGGAAGTACAGACAAATATATTTTAGAATAACTTTGACAAACAAATTAAAAATGAACCTACTGTAAGGCTCATAGTCATAAATGAGCTTACCACATTGGGGTGTTTGCCCTGGGCCACACAGCCTCTCTCCAGTGGGTTCCTCTTTCCTTTGTGTTTCCTCTTCAGCCACATCACCACAGACAGGAGGCATCCCAGGATTGTCATGAACACCATGCACAGAAACAACGCTTTGCCCACAGTGCAGCCTGTCAGACGGTCATTTCCCAGTGGACTGTAAGGGACTGAAGTGTACACAGACAGACACACGAAGAGTTTGTTTCAGTCTGCAGGCGTATCAGCATTCAGTAGCGTATGCGAGTGTTCAGGTGTGCATCCTTACTTGATTGTCCTTCAGGTAAAACTTCCACCACTACAGTCGCAAAGGTGGCATCACCTGACTCCTGGTCTACAGCGGTTACCTGCAAAAGTGTTTTTCAACTTATTGTCACAGCTTTGTCACCTCACTTTCATGTGTACATTATGAGATTGTGATGAAACACAAAGAGGTTGTGCAACACAATGAATCTGATGTAAGTAAACATATTGATTAAATAGCAACTCAGACTTGTCCTTGGTTGGTTTTGAAGCGCAATCGCTGATTGTAACGTTTTAGTCAGTTGACATAAAGGTCCAATGTTGTGCTCCTTTGTCAGCAGATAAATGAAAGCCCCATTTGTCTCCAGAATGGGTACTTTGAGGAATGGCAGAAGTAAACATCTTCATATCTTAACAGCTTTTATGTTTCACATCCAACAACCTCAAAACACAATACCATGGATTTTCACTATATGGGAACTCTAAAATGTTTATAGTTTACACTAATGCAGATGTTTTCCCCCCCCACCCTTTTAGTTGGACACAAAATGTGTTAGGTTTTCACTGAGGCTCACCTCCAAAACGTGTTTCTGTTTTGGTTTGAGCTGACTGGTCCTGGCGATCAGGAGCCCCTCCTTTGTGACTTGATACATGTCTGTGTGATTGCTTGTGGAATTGAGGGTGAAGTCGATCATGGGATTGAAACCCTAGCAACATTTTTGGGAAAGGTGTTAGACACAAATCCAGAACTGAGCATTTTGCCACCATGAGTGTAGTGTATGTGTGCATGTCACAGGGCATACTTGGATGAAGTCTTGGTCCTGTACGTGTAGCATCAGTGCTTTGCTGCCGTAGGTGTTGACTAGAGAGGCTGAACTCTTTCCTGCATTTACAAAGCCATGATATTCAGCCATGTCGAACTCTGGATAAAACTGGTTCACTGCCAGAACTCGGACCAACACTGTAGCAACAGAGTACTTCCGGGGGTCGTTGTCCTGGTATGCCTGGTGGTTTGAGACACAACAGAGACACAGAAAGTCACAGTGGTGAGATTAATGCAAGTAGCAAAACAAGTAGAGGGAATATCTCTCAAGCCTGCCACAACATGAGTCTCACCATGACCTGAAGATGCAGCTCTGGGGTTGTGAGTCTGTCTCTCACCCCCTGAGTCAGTCTCATCTCCCCAGTCTCTCTGTCCATGCTGAAACGCCCTTCATCATCCCCTACAATGAACGGAAGCGCAGTTTTAGACGTAAGCACAGCACATTTTAGACATTAACTTGTATTGCTGCGTATGGTACCTGAGAGAATGGCATAGCTGACTGGAGATCTGAGTCCTCTGTCTCCATCCACTGCATGAATGGGACCAGGAGAAAAGCCCAACACAATGTCCTGCAACATGACACACATTTGTTGCTCCACTAATCAAACAGTAACCCAGTGACCTGATCTGAATCTTGCAGCTGGTCCATAGTTTAGACTGAAACAGCCGGTCGTGAAAGGGACAGATGATCTCATTATTTTTCAGAATCTTATGTTTAACATTAAAGGACAATTACACATTGCCTACAAAGCTGTTCAGCAGATTTCAGTGAGAGATAATGGTTTGTTGATGCATGATTTTCACAGGTACAACAGCAAAATCCTCGGTCCTCTAAATCTGAATCTGAATCATATGCAAAGCACAGCCAGGTTGCCATAACAGCTAAATTTATGGCCTGTGAATTTATGTGGGTAGATATGTCATGGACATTATTAATAACCATCTGATATACGTGTGAGACATGTTTGAGGAGGGTTTAGCAGCTGACCTCTTCCCCCTCCGTGACGTTTACTGTGTACACGGGACTCGCGCAGATTCGACTGGTCTCATCCTGGAAGAGCAACATGCAGGGAAGGAACTGTGGATACTGGTCATCTCCATCTAGGATACTGATGGTGATGTTGGTGCTGATGCTGAAATGCTCAGCAGTGTTCATTTCCTGAGATAATGACAAGTTGAAAACATTACATCAGTAAAACATGTCTGATGGAGAAACAGATGGATGCTTGACCTAAAGTACCGCGCAGTGTCTTCAGTAGTAATCATTTCTTTCCTTTCTTTTTTAGAGATGATACAACATGTAGAAACATATTAAACTATTTAGAATGTACTGATGCATTTGCTTGCATACTGAGCTGTAAAAGCAATCAAAATGCACATACTGTGGCGTGGATGGTGACAGTCAGCAGGGTTTTGGTCTCGTAGTCCAGAGGTTTGGTCAGAACCACCTCGCCACTGTTTGGCAGATCAATTCTGAAGTAATGTGCATCAGGCTGCACAAGACACACAAACGCATAAACAATCGAGAAATGCTTGTTTATATGTTATTTATTTATTTATTGTAAATGTGGAAAGCTTACGGATGCCTGGTCGATTGTGTAAATGATCTTGTCATCATCTGCATCTGTGGCCTTGACGGTAAACACCACGCTATTCACCGGAGTCAACTGGCAAGCACACAAAGAAACACTTTAGATAACAGGAGCAGTGCTTTAGCCTTTAGTATTTATGTATGTATGTGTAGATTTGCACACATGTATCCGTGAAAGCATCATACCTCGCTGATAATTAGAGAATGGACAGTGTTTTCTGTAAACATGGGTGAATTATCATTTTCATTGAGAATCTCCACCAAGATCCTGTACACACTCTACAACAACAACAACAAAAACACATACAGGTTTGCATCTGTGGAGACACACAGAGGAATTATGGGTAAGGCGATGTGTGAGGAAGTGTACCTGAAGCACGTCCTCCTCATTGCACGATAACTCAGCCATTATGACGGGACCAAGGGCCTGAGAGAGAGAGACAGCAACAGATGTGTAGATGCAAAGAAGATCTAAAGTCAGTGATGGAACAGTTTAACACAGACAATATGATCGCATACTACTGAGTCATTATCTAAATCATGATACACTTCCTTCCACAATGCAAAGCATTCAGTGAAATAAGGAACACTTATTTTAACCTCTGGAGACAAGGCATAACTGGCTGCCCTGTCTGTTCCAATATGCCACAACCTGATATACAGTGAATGACCTAGACACATACAGACACACACAAACACACGCAAATAACATACATAACTAATATTGCACGATATATCAGCGACCACATCGCTATCGGCCGATATTAGTGTTTTTTCCGATATATCGGTATCGGTCCGATAAATAAATTTAGCCAATGTGAAAAACCGATGATTGTCTAACATTAGCGCCTTCGTCTCTACATTTGATATTTCTGCTATTTCACAGATGTTTTTACTTAAATGGACTTGAACTTTAAATATGTTTAAATATTTTTTACTTTTGTTACATAATAAAGAAGACTATGTGGTCTAATGGGCTTCTTTGGATAGTTTTCACATTCTCACAGTGCTTACTTATACTCATTTTTCAGTGTGAACAAAAATTGAATATCGACATTGGTAATATCGGTTATCGGCGATATCAGAAATCTTAATGTCGGATATCGGTATTGGCCAGAAATTTTAATATCGTGCATTACTAATATATTTTAATGTTAATGTCGTATTAATGTTAAAATGATTATGTAGTTACTGGAGCTGAACTGAGCTAAATTTAAATTGATGAACAAAAGAGCAACTTTGCAAACAGGCTCCTGGAAAGACACTGACAGGGGGAAAAAAAAATTATAATCAAACATTTTAAAATATTTTCAAGCTATTTTCAATAACTGCATATGTAAATAACATTCTTCATGTCCTTCATGAATTTATTTTGCATTTGTTGTGCATGCTAACAATGGCCTACTAGAATTTTAGACTTCCTTTAGTTTTTAGCCTACATTGGCTTCATTTAATGTTATATATGTACTTTGCCTAAGTACAGAGAAATATAATATTAGAACATGCAGTTTGTTTCACGAGTACATTTACAATAATATATAAAATGACATGCTGCATCTTTTATTTTCTTTCTAAATAAAGTATGTATATATTTTCCTTTTTTTCCCCCAGAGTGGAAACACACTAAAGTGATAATCATCACCAGATCGTGGTGAATAACAGGAATTCTACATCTGGACCTTTTTGAGATGACAGATGAAGATGCAAAATTGAGACTTGTACGAAATATCTTCAGTCTTCAAATGTTTTTCTTTAAAGATAGAGTGATAGAAGTAGAGAGACTGAAAGCCAGAGAGACAGTGACACAACTAATCTCTCTGACCCTTGAACAGCTGCCAGAATGTAAGACAGCTGCCTAGGAAGTGGATGACGATAAGAAAGCTTGTGTTTGGTCCAAGGATGAGGTCGTCAGGTTCAGTCTTGTCCCCACAGCCTCCTCACTATAGCACCATACTATCACAAACATATTCACTTTCCTGGTTATATCACAGCTCCAAAACTTAATAATCAGGGTTTAAGAGGACACATCCGGAGTCATTACCTCTCGGTCAAGGATCTTGTCAGCTGATGTGTTGAGCCGGATGTGTCTTCCATCCAGATAGAACCAATCAGCATCCTCTCCGCTCAGGCTCCAGCGAACCCCCTCTATAGTGGTGTCGGCCATGAGCTCGGCAACAACTTCTCCTGGAGGGCTGTTTTCTTTGACTGTTGCGAACACATCCTGACCGTCCAAACATCCAGCCCAGCCTGACATCCCTGTGTCAAACACAAACGCACACATTCAGACAATTATAGATAACTAAACGTGACCTAGAACCTCTGAAGGAACGGCTTTACAGTGGCTGTACCTGCCGCCGTGTGCAGACATAGGAGGACCAGGAGTGAGCAGACTAGAGCCCTGGGAGTCAGTTCGGTGAGCGCCATCCCCTGGGCTCGATCAGGAACCGGTTCTGACTGAGAGCAGAAAAAGTATCAGACACAGTCATCCTTGATAGTATAAATAAGTGGGCTATTCTGAGCTTATGTGGTTACATGTTTACACATCTTAAGAATCAACACTGCCCTAATGTCCAGTCACACACACACACTCTCTCTACGCCGTCCTATAATTCCCTCAAATCCCTTTTAAGTGGGTTTCTGTTGAGGGGTTTTCCCCAGCAGGAGAGAGCAGAACTATACAATAGCAGCCAATTAATACTTGTGTCTACATGTTTCTTTGGCCTGATTCCTCTTTTCAGGTCCATATCTGCAGAAAATTACTGCCCTGACTCATCTGGTAATCTGTTAGTACGGTTTAAAATCACATATCTACTGTTCATGTCATTAATCCTGCATCAAAAGTCATAACAGCTTAATAGAGGAATAGGAATGAATAATTTAAGCAGCCTTAAAGACACATGCTTAGATACTTATCCATTCAGTCATCAAACTGTGTGGCTGTCGTGCTCTTGTGAGTCATTTATTGCCGGATCAGGGGTTGTGGATCAAATCCTACTAAAACAACAAATTTGCTGTGAGTTAAATAATCACACAAAGTCTTTCTGTGATTACTGAACTGAGTCTGTGCAATCAGGGGGCGAAAACCGAGCGACACTGTTTACTACGCTTCAGCCCACTGACCTGTTGCTGTCAAATCCTCTGCAGCTTGTCCGTCAGTCTCCATATCCTCCCGAGTTGTGACGGTCGTCGCATCTCTGAGTGCTCAAAAGCCTGAAAAGCCACCAAACACCATTCAGAAACACGCACTGATGCCTTCAGGAATAAACAAACAGTGACAACAATAGATAACACGGCCTCACACACACACACACAAACACACTGACCCCTCCCAAACACACACACACACACACACATACGTTAAAAAGCAGACAGCAGCTTATGGTGCGTGTCCTCGGATAAACGTCAGCTCAGAGGCTAAAGCCTTGAGGGCGTGGTTTACCTGGTCGCAAGTGAATTTAAGAGATTTGTCTGGTCCAAAGACACTTGACCTTCGGTGCCCCGACCTTCATAGGCAGTTTGTCATCCAATAGGAGCTCAACAGTCAGAGCCGATCCGGTCAGCTTGTGTTCAAACTGTAGATGTCACACTAAAGATCATATCAAAAGTTGCCATTTTCTTCAGTCAAGTAGGCCTTGGTAGCTTCTGTCATACTTTAAATGCACATTTCAGGGTATTGTATAGGTTCAAGCTTGTTAAAAGAATCTGAGCATCTATTTTGGCCACACAGCTTGTCTCGCTTGGATTTTTCAATTAGCTATATGTGACAGCTAATGGGGCCTGACAAGGGATTAGCTATCAAATGTCGGCTGTTCGCCGACTGAAGATTAACCCACATCCTTTTGCACTCTTGTCCCAGCATGTAGAGGCGCACACACACACACACACACACACAAAGACCCAGGTAAAGAAAAGGAGTGACTCTGGGCATATCTTTAGGGCTCCTGTGATGAAAATCTGTCATCTGGCTCCATGAGAAATGTTTTGGTTAGTGTTTAGGCTTGTTAGAGGGTTCTATTGTTAGAACGTGGGGGGAGCAGAAGTGTATAGTTTGCCTCCGGGGAGGGGGAAAAGGAAAACAGTGTGTAGTCTGTATCCTGTATGCAGGGAACACATGTCTCACATCATATACATACATTTTTTCATTTTCTCACAATAAGCTTCAGGAAGCTATATTTGATTTATCTCCACCAGACTTCTAAAATGAGAGATTTATATCTGTCTGCTGTGTTTGGACATGACCACTGGATGTCAGTAGAGATGTGGATAAAGAGATAGTAGATGGTTGATAGACAACAGTTTGCTTTTACAGCTACATCATCTGAACATCTGTTTTTCCAGAATGCCTTTTCATTTTTTTTTTCCCTCTCTTGTAAGGATGTTATCTGAAATAGCAGTCGTTAACAAAAACGAGTTCAAATTTAGCTGAAGACTGCAAATTCCTTTGAAGAAAGTCACTCATTCTCTCGCTATAATATGCTGAATTTACAATGTGGGGCAATGGTTGTACTTGTAGACATTAAGAAAAGTCCCACTGGGTACTGAGTGGGTGTGAGCGCAACATTGTGTTCCTGTCTGTGTTCCTCTGGGACGCATTTGGGGATTGTTGCGATTTTACAGCAAATTACCACATTCACAGAGTTTGATGCCACTGTTAATTGAATTTCCAGGCTAAAAAGTTGCAGCATTTTTCCAATCTTCTTTATCAACGTTTTCAATCAGTGAACCCTCTCAGCCATCCAGAGGGACTGGGTGTGTGTTTAAAAAATAAAGCGCCGGTGGGGGAACACTTTTAATTGTGATTATTACAGACTGAGCTGGCATGAGTCATGGATCAGGATGGGAAGACTTTTTTATATACTTCAAATCAGCTTCAAATGTGGAAAACAATCTGGCACCAGAAGATTTGAGGGACTCTCCAATCTGCTACATCCATTAACTAACACCTGGGTGTCCTCTCCCACTATAATACCTCATCAGGATATAGGGGCATATGTCTGCCATTCTATGCTGCACGTACCTCAGACATGAAAGTTATGAGGGCACTTTGAGACAGGCTCTGTGATGATAAACACAAAGACAACAACATGAAGAAGAAGCCAAGAGTCCCGGAGACAAAACTGAGCACAGTGGGATGCAAACTGGGACTCTTTCCAAAGCAGTGAAACATGACTACTTATGTTTACCCCCACCCTCTCCTCTCTCTCTCTCTCTCTCTCTCTCTTTGTCTCTCTGTACACACACATAAACTTACTCAACACATATATTTTTTTGGCTGCTTGTGCTGCTGCATGGCTCCCCTCCAGTCTCCAGACCAGGTTTTAGCCCATTACCAAAACGAGGGTCTTTGAGAATCAACACAACAGTGCTGGGTGGAGAGTTAAAAAAAAGAATCCAACAAGGATAAGAAGGGCTTTCTCTACAGATAGTTTTCTGGGACAGACCGAGGCAGAGATAAGAGCTGGCGACGCTGAGACGCGCTGTACACCTGAACTTTTTTTTTTTCTTATTTTGCGCGCATTTCTTTTCCCCTCGCTCCTCTCTTTCTCTCTCTAATCAGAAATCAGTGATATCCAGACAAGGCTCACAAATGTTATGATCAGACGATTCCAGCAGTTATCTGTCTTTGCGATAATGGAGCGAAAGTGTGGTGCAGATATGGCCCCAGGGGGGGAGAATGTAAGTGTGTGACTGCAGAGAAGTGACGCCCTGCCCGCATCCAGATGTTTCATGTTTCCCTTGCGCGCTCTTTGGAGAGATCTGCTCGCGGAGGAGCGGTTGAAATCTTGATCGTACATTGCATGCTCCATGGCACCATACCGGCTTAAAAGGACAACGATGCTTTTTGCGTAAGGTGTTCGCTTTGCTGCTTCGGAGTTTTTTTTTTCTTATTGCTTCTGGAGAATGGTGAGGCTGAGGATGGCCGCGCTGCTGCTGCTCTGGATCGTCTTTGCGCATTCTGTGTCCGGGAATCCCAGTCCTAATCACGAGAACGGTGAGATTCCAGATGTGTGCTCGGGTCAAATGGGTCACTGGTTGTTTTGGTTTGCAATTTATGTTATCTTTTTAAATGCATCTCGTGTGTTTTTTTCCCCATTACAAAGCATGGCAACAACTGTCAGATAAATGTAGTAACAAGTTCTATATAGTTGAGATTTAGTTGTGTTGCAGAAGAAGATAAATAGCAACTTGTGTGCATTAATTTTACTCTATTCCAAAACAACTTTTCATTGTAGCTTTTAGTTTCATCTTGTAGCAGTGAGTCTCCACATTTAAAGCGTGTCAGATGTATTGTGTTAGCTGAGAGGCAGACTGACTGTATCATGCTGCTTTGAGGTCAGTGAGGCAGCCATGTGTGACCGGCTGATGAATGGCTTCATTCTGGTACCCTCTCATAGAGAACCGCAGCCATCAAACCCAGAAACCACACTGTCAACCTCCTGACCTCTTCGTCTATGGATGTGTATGTTTTGTCTCTGACTGTGTCTTTTTTTTTCTTTCCCAGTGATTGACCTTCTGGCAGCCCTAAACATGTCCCACCATGTAACCGGCGTGACCAGACTGCAGAGCTCCAGCAGCACCGTGTTCAAAGTACGACCCAGAGCTCCCTACCTGACCCTCCCTCGTGAATATTCCCACTTCTTGTACTCCAACCTTCAGGGCGGCCTAGGCGTGCATTTGGTGGGTCACCAAGTGTCGGGATCCAGCGCCACCGTTTTTTCTCTCTCCTCTGCATCCTCGCCCATTCTCCAGATCTTCTCCTCCACCCTCAATCACTCTCTGCGTTTGGACTACCGGGCTGGAGAAAGCGCTCAGGGCCTTGCCAGCGTCCGCTTTCCGGGGAGAAATCCCTTCTCCAGGGAGGAGTGGGTACAGCTGGCTGTGGGCCTGGAGCCAGAGAGACTGACATTTTTTGTGGACTGTCAAGAAGCAGCTGTTTTACCAATAAAACGTGAGAACAGGATCAACCTGAAACTGCCTCAAGATGTTGTCATCAGTCTTGCCAGCACACCGGGGAAGAAAGACAGCAAATTTAGCGTGAGTCTTGTACAGTCTGCACACCTGTATATACTCAGAAAGAACAGCAGGACAGTTTATGGTATTTTGTGATAGTTTTTTTTGTAGGGGCCGACAGTGGTTTAACTTTAGAGTGTCTGCCTCTGTCTGAAAACATAAGGACATAATTTAAGCTAATTGCATAATCACAAAATTAATGAAATGTCAAAAAGACAGCAACTGAACTACTGCAAAACATGTGCCATTGTTCTTATTACTCATTTTCTGCCTTCGTTGTGGATTTTTAAATGCAGGGTTATTTCAAGACTGCTGAAATTTCACTGAAAGCATATGAAAAGCGTCCGTGGATCTGTCGCAACGTTACAGGTAAAGAAAGATTATCTTCATCAAAACTGAACGCAAATCACTGTCTTTGTTTGGGGAGGGAATAATGTACGTGCATGTTCCCTTTAAACACTTTGTTATTGTGATCTGGAGAGCTGTAATTGTTATTTATTTCAGTGGTCAGTGGTTTTAATGTTCGGACTGTTTATAATAACATGCTGTGGGGTTGTTGCCACATGGAAAAACTTTACGGTATATCCGAGACTGCAGTGCAATTCCCCGTTTTGCTTTATTCGTTCCCTCCATTGTTGATAATTTATTACAGCACTGTTGCTCTGGAAGACATGAAAGCAGTTTCTGTCAGCGATGAGCTTTCTTGTCAGGAGCAGCTATAAAAACTAATGAATCACTAATAAAACTGTATTTAGCCCCTCAGTCTTGAATTCCAAACAGTGAGACCACTCTTGTCATTCCTACAGTGAGTTCAAACTCAGCAATGGGACCACCGTGGTTGTGCTTCGGGTCCCCCAGGCAGAAAGTCCCCCAAACAGTTTATTTGTTATTCCTCAGTGTGGGTCCTAATTTTGACGGTGTTTTCCAGGATGTTTGTTTAAAGTTTTTTTTATTTTATTCTTTCAAAAATTATTCAGGAATCTATTGCTGCCCTTTTTCTCCCACCGAATGCCTCTTTCCTCTTCTAGATACTCCGCCTCAGGACAAGCTTACTCCAGATTCTCAGACTGACATTGGTGAAATGTTGCGTCAGGATTCTTCACCCAGTAAACATCAAAAGAACCACAAGCCACAAGACGAAACCAGCCGTCATCTCCAGGACATTCAGAGTGATCACTCGCAGAGAGGAACAGTGCTGGGGCCTCCAGGATCTCCTAAAGATTTAAGGTCTGATTCTCAGGAACAGAGAGAAGACAGGCTGAGGAAGCTGGAGAGGAGGCTGGAGGAAGTGGCTCAAATGCTCGACATGGTCAAAGCTCAGGTAACAATTGGAATATATGACTTTTCATGAAACATGATATGATGAAACACAACAAGACATAGTGGTTTATGTTTTTAAATCTTTTTTTTGTTTTGTAACAGAATACAGATCTACAGTCACGCGTAAAACACCTGGAGGGATGTGAGTGCGTGAGGCAGCGATGCGTGTACGAGGGACGCGAACTGGTGGATGGTCAGAGCTGGCAGACTGACATCAACACTTTGTGTTCGTGCACATCTGGAAAGGTCACATGCCAAGCAAACATCAAAAGTGACGGTGACTCATTTTATGTCTTTTTTTTCCCCCATTTGTTTTCTCTCTATCCTTTTTCTTTGCCACTCACATGAGAATCGATCTTGTTTTCGCACGCTCTTCAGCAACGTAACATTAACACACTTTCAACTGGTGTTGAGTAGCTAGTTTGCAGATGGCTGTCTCTCTCCCAGACCCTTGTCTGTCTAACCCTTGTCAAAATGGAGGCACATGTTTCGTCTTGGCCTCTGACCCCGCTGGGTTTCACTGCTCCTGTCCTCCCAAGACCAAGGGACCAGTATGTCACAGACAGCAGAGAAAGGTATTTTTGAGGCACTGTGGAGTAGTGAACTAGAATAGATTCATACAACATTTATAGAAGAACAAAATCTGTGATGCCCTTGTTGTGAAAATATATGCATCAAGTGATATTAGCCACACTAGCAGCAGTGGCTCTGAGGGCGTCGGTTGACTGGTGACTAAAATTGTCAGCTAAGCAGAGGTGGAGGCAGACGGTCTGACAAAAACATCTCAGCAAAACTAGATTTTTACAGTCATGATCCACACGTGATTAATTTGTTGATTCATTCAGTCATTATCTGCTTATCAATAAATTATAACATGTAAAGCAAGTCTGTGAACATGAATAATATACGGGCTAAACATCAGCCTGTAAGGAGTGTCACTGCAAGTAAGTTAGCACGCTGTTGGTATTATGTTGATTTACAGAAAGCACAGCGTTGCCGAGGTAGAGCTGCTCCGAGAAGTCAGCATGGCTATGAACTCTTAGTCTTGTACTGCTTAGGTGTGTGTCTTTGTGTGCTTTCTCAGTTGCATCTGTTGTAGGTGTTTCATTTGATTAGTTTTGAATGTGTTCTTATTGTTTGTTTGGTTACCCGGCAGGTCTCAAGAGCTTTTCAAATGCTTGAGGTGGGTCACAATCACAAATGAACAGCAAGGTTTGAAACCTCCTTCTGTTTAGTGTTGTGTTACTGATATTTTGTTATAGTTTCATGTATGTAGCATTTTCCTTTTAGTCGTTGCATATGCCACTACTCTGCTGTTACCAAAGGCTTTGTGCTTCCACTGTAGTGAATGATAAAGGAACAGTTCGACATTTTGGGAAACACATTTATTTGCAAAAATCTATACCAATCTCATGGGTGTGGTCAGTGGGTGTTTTTACTCCTGGACGGTGGAAAGATAGCTGTTTCCTCTATTCATTATGTTAAGTTTTTACATCTTCTGATGGTAGCTCCATATTTAACTACCAGATCTGAGAGTGCTATTGATCTTATCATCTAATCATTGGCAAAATAAAATAGTGAATGAGGTATTTCTCAAAACATCAGAATGTTCCTTTAATGTAACTGAATGTAGTTTTCTAGATCGCTTGCGTCATTGCCTGTTGTGTGATCATGGTATAGCTGTAGAGCATTGCTCGGCCTGCTACATTGGGTGATCCCAATAGCAGTGCTATGCTTTACTGTTGTCTTTTGTCAGTTCTGACTATGGGCATTGCTGTGGGGTTTAAGGCTGGGTAAGAGGCCCTATGTCCCCCCTCCCCACTTCTAGGCATGTTGGGTACCCAAACCAGAGAACAGCTGTGAAGGAGTGCAGTCATTTCACCACCGATGGGCCTTTAATCCTACTTCTGGTCTTTGTGAGGATTTCCTTTATTGCAATGGAAACAGCAGCAACAACTTCCCCTCCTTTAATGCCTGTAGAGACCAGTGCATGTTAGGAGCATGCTGCCTCCGCAAACCAAGGAACGTTCGTCCCACCGGCCAGCTGCATTATATCCACGATGAGTACAACATCTCCTATGTGAACAGGACTCCCTTTGGAAATGGCAAGCTTAAATTAGAGGATGAAATGTGGTACGGTAATGCAGACTTTAACCAAACTGAGCAGGAGAATCTGAAAGGAGAACGCAAAACGATTGACTGCCGCAAGGATCCGGATTTTACTTACACCTGTGATTACCTGACTGTAAAACAGTGTCAAGCTCTGGTGAAGAACCAAGCTGGAGAGGTACAGGTGGTGAGCTACTCTCCTGGAGTGAAGTGCCTTGACGTGAGATGTGACGGCGGTTGTGGACACTTTTCCCAGCGCAAGCTGAGGAGATTCAAAGAAAGGTTCAGGCAAGGCTGTGAAGACTCCATATGCACACAGAGTGGCAGTGTTAACTGTATGTGCAGACACCTGACACAACGTAAAGAGATTAGAGATCTTACCTTTAGAGAACGGCGGCTGTACCAACGGGCTATCAGGAAACTCTACGCCAGGCCAGGTAAGCTTGTGAATTGAAACGTCTGCTATCATCACCTTTTTGACAGTAAGGATAAACATCCATTTCATTAATATAATAGGTTTTTGTCTCTTTTTTGTGTTTCCATATGGATTTAGCATTGTGGAAGAGCTTTGCACTCCTGAGAGCTGAGTTCTCCCCTCAGGCAGGCGATCATGCCTTCTTTCTCCCCTGGCACCGCTGCTTCCTGCGATTAGTGGAACATGAGCTGCAATCAGTCTCATCATGCAAACTGACAATTCCATATTTTGAGTGGACAGTGGACTCTGGGTCAATTAGGTCTTCAGCTGTGTGGCAAGCGGGCTTGTTTGGAGGTGACAGTGAGCCAGACTCAGGCTGTGTGGCACATCACCCTTTCCAGGGCTTGGCATCCCATTTTCACTGGATTCCTTGTCTCAAACGAAGTTTCAACTCCTCGGTTCGTCAGACAAATTTTATTAACAGTCCTCGTTGCTGCACTTCCATATATCACTGTACTTTGAGCTGTATTACTGACCAGGTTTGTGTAATTGATTTCTGCTGCTCCCTTTAGGTATGGCTGCCAGATGCAGTGACCCTGCAGAGGACAATAAACCAGGCAAACTTCCAAGTGTTCTCTCAGTCTCTGCAAACCTTCTCTGGGCTCTTCAGGCTTTGGGTCGGGGGTCACATGGCTTCACCTCTGGCTGCTTATGACCCTATATACCTGTCACACATGGCATTTATGGACAAGCTGTGGCAACAGTGGCAAGAAAAACATCAGCTTGCATCAAAAAGACAAACTTTTAGAGATGACCACCCTCAGAGTGACATCCTCTACCCTGCAAGTTGGAGACATGTGAAGATGAAACCTTTTGACGTTACCCCTGATGATGTGATTGCTTCCCAACAACAGACTTGTTCTGTATTTGTGCCCATAACCATTGGTGCACCTTGTAATGTGACCTCTCTTCAAACACACCCTGAAGGAAGTCCGAAATATACAAAGCGTAGCTCCGACAAGCACAACTCCAAAAGTTTTGTCACCGGGGGCTTTGACAACAGTGGTTTTGACCAACATGGATACGATCGTGACGGCTATGACCGGAGTGGTTGGGACAGGTGGGGCTATGGCAAAGATGGCTTCAACCTGGACTTCATTGATAGGGATGGATATGACAGGTTTGGTTTCAATCGCTATGGGTTCAACCGTTCTAATGTCACCTGGTTTGGAATGCGCAGAGATGGAGTGTTTGAGGGCGAAAGGATGGAGGAGCATGATGGAAAGGAGAGTAATGGAAAGACACACAGAGATAAGATAATGTCCAAACTCTTTGGCGACAAGGGCTACAGCATTTATGGGTTTGATCCATTTGGTTTGGATCATGGAGGGTATGATGCATTCGGCTTTCGAACAGATGGCTATGACAAGGACAGTTGCAACTGGTTTTTCAATGGACCGCACTACCTTAGGATCTACTTCCACACACAGCAACAGCTGATGTCATCAAGTGACGACGCTTTAACCAGCATCAGCCGAACATGCCCCCGCATCACCTCCCTGCCCCAACACTGGGTTACACTGGACTGGATGACTTTTGGTCCAGACAAAAGCCTGACTGACCGACCAGAGAAGGACCGTGTGGAACACAACAAGCCAGAAAGTGTTGATACTATTAAGGCAGCTATTCAAAATGGGAGCATGATATGGCTTCCGGTCACACCAGATCACAGGTATCATCATCACAAGAAGAAATGGGCATTAGCTCTGCAAAGCCAGACCAGTTTTTTGGAGGTACTTGTTTGGAAGAGGCATCATTTGAAACAGGTCAAGACATCAGCATGACCCCTCCTTAAACTTAATTGCTGCTAAATTTTCTACACACTGATATGGGTTTCTTAATAGGTTGGAAGTTAAAATGAGGCCTTGCAGTTGCAGCAAGGTGTTCTCAAGTTGTAAAATTTCAGAGTCACTGAGTCACATGAACATTCAACTGCCAAGTTTTGCAAATCACAGGAGCTTTTTCAAATCGTATTGATCTTATTGGTCAATTTAATTTAGAACCGGGGACATCAGCTGGCTTTGGGGAGCTAATGTTGTAATGTTAGGATTATTGAGATAAATCATTTCCGAATCAGACGTTATCATTTCAACCACAGTTATGATCCCCTTTCCCTTGAAAACTGTCTGTAGGTTTTGTTTCAAGCTTCACTGGTTCAGCGGCTGTCCCCTCGGCTCTGCACCTGTCACCTGCCCTGACCTGTGCCAAGATGCCCGTTGCCATGGTTACCCAGAGGCTATCTGCCATATGCACAATTGTGGCTCTTGTTTCATAGAGTGGCGTGATTCAGCTACTGGAAACCATGTGATATGCCATGACTGGTAAACACTGGACTGCCAGAAAAAAAATCATGTCACAGCCGTGAGAGGTGGATGAATCATCAGTTGGTGCTGTTGTACCAATGTTGTGAGCTCAGAGAAACAGAAAGCATTTTATAAGGATAACATTTGAAAAGGCTGCTACTGGAGTTAAACTTGATTTAAAAAACTAATTATTATTGTTAAAACAGTACAATATGCTTTGAAAAAGTTGACTTCAGTCAAACTCTGCACAGTGTAATTTATCTCCTTTCTACAGTGTTGCTTCACTCAGCATACAAAAATGCATTTACACGACTGTGCAAAAGTTCTGATGTTTACTTTCTTATCCATCATGCAACACCATCAGGGGAGGGTTCAGAACAAATAAGCCAAAAAATGTACTAAGACAGATACCACTAGAGGTCAGTACGAAGATTTTAAAGCTGCTCTAATACATTTTTTTATTAGTGACGAAGCGCAGAAATGTGTGTAATGTGAAGGACATCACTTGTAGTGATGTTATTACCAGACTTTGCAGTTCCTGTCAGCTCTGTGGAGCGTTTTTGCTTTTTTCAGTTCACTGTTTAACTTTTAAGTTTATTGCTTTTGGCGTACTCTCACACCTGTTTCTATTTGCAGCAGAAACACATGTTTAGAGGCAAATATGTTATGTGTTCGCTACCTGCACTGCACCAGACAATGTGCAGACAGAGTTAGCAACTTATCTGTCAACAGCATGTAGCAATTAGGTGTACAAGAGCCACATTTTCCTGTAGGCAAAAGGAGACGACTAAGACATGCTAGAATGACTTCCTTGTGGTTGTAAGCCGAAACCCACAAGTAGCAGTTTACATCCTTGTCTGTCCAGACTTGACCTTTGACCTTTTGGATATAAAATGTGTTACCTTCATCATGTTTTCTACCCTCCGTTTTTAAGCATTTGTGTCACATTTGAAGAACATGCATTGGACAGACGAGCCTCTGGATGGACAACCAAAATATATAATGCCTGTGGCCCTGGTAGTTGCTTTTGTGGAAACATAAAAATGAGAGAATGCTGGTCCCAACTTTGTTGGACGCCCAGAAGCAAAACTTCAAATGAATTCCATAGCTTTCTATGACTGCTAGATGTCTATATAGGCAGCTAATTCATTCTACTTTATAACTAGATAATTTATGAGTGTTCAAGGAGTAATCCTAGTAGTTGTATATGTATTGTCTATGTATTTTTTATTACTTTCATTTGTCATACTCTACAATAGCATCTTATCCATTTTGTTCTAGTTAGTGCATTTGAGGTAACTGTGTAAAACCACTAATCACTGTGGGATGAGACAGATATAGTATGTGGGACTGGCCTCATTAGGGATTCCCTCTGTTCCCTCTCACTTCACAAGTTCATTTGAGGCTCCCACACAGTTATGTAAACTTTGTTCTGTCCTGCATATTGTTCAGATTTTGGGAATCAATCTAATACACATGTGCCCCAACAGCCCACTGTCCCCTTTTTTTCACCTCCCCGACTGTTCCCTCTGTCACTCTCTCTGCCGTTTCATCCATCTTTCTCTTAATTGCTTCTGCATGTAGGCTGAAAGACTCCTATGGCACCCAGTTGATATACGCTCGCAGACTCGCACTCCCACACACTTTGATCTCATGCATGCTTGGCTTGCTGGAGGAAATGCCTGTTGGCTGCTGGCACAGTAGGCAGCCTCTAGCCTCTCTCTCACTCTGTGATTATTGCCCTCTCTCACACACAAACACATTGTCTCTGTCCTTTGGAGAGCTGTCATTAAAATAATTATCTGCTGAAATGTCCAAGCTAAGCAAAAATAATATTTGATGAGCGCCGTTAATGCTTTTGATGAAAAACTGCAGCGACTTTGCTCCTCAGCGTTTGGTATGTACTTTGCTGTAAACATTTTTTTTTTTAAATATCAGAATAGTTTAGTTAGCCACAGGAATGGGGGAAGTTGTTAGGATGACGATCTGATCTTTTGTAGGAAATGGTTCAGAAAACATTCATCCTGTCCACAGTCTTCTTCGCCTGGTCCGTCCTGCAGTAAAAATCTCTTTCAGCGTTAATAGACTTGTACGACTTGTCTTTGGTAGTCTTGAAACCTGCAAACACTTCTGGTTATGGTTACAGTCCATAAAACTTGTGTGTGTGTGAAAGCAAGCATGTGGGTATTACATCAGGGCCACGCTGTTCTGTCATTACTGGAAAGAGAGCAGAGCCAGATGTTCTCCAGTGGCTTAGAGAAAAGGTGAGGAAAACCTGTGGAGACAGACAGAGAGGGCAAAGACCGGCAATATTTTCACACTCATCTTTTTTTCTCCTTACGTATCAGTATACATGTCAACAACTGAAATGTGCAGAAGCTCAAAAATGTGTACGCACTAAAGATTTGGTCTCATCTTCAGGGTGTCAGCCAGATGGTACAGTTCACCGTGTGTCCCACGGCGGAAAAGGCTGTCAGACATGTACATGTAAGGTGAGTATCTGACACAATAAAACACAAACATGCATTCATTAATTCTGAACTTTTTTTTTTTTTTAGTGTTAACCTCTTTCTCTCTTGTTTGTTTCTCCTCCCTGACAACAGGGTGGTAACAGGGAGTGCGCTCCCCAGCCGTGTCCTTCCCTTGACTGCACAGTGAGGGAGAATGTACCAGGAGGCTGTTGCCAACAATGCAAAGGTGAGGACACAGAAAAAAAACAACACAGATTAACCAGAAACATTATTTAGTCACTTAAATATGAATTGATAGTATGCTTTCTTTCACTTGTTACATTGTCTGATATATTCACAATACCATTATGGTACAATGTGTATCTAAGAGCTCATCTAGTGCAGAATTTCCAAAACCTTTCCACCCTTGACTCCCCAAAATAACAACGCCAGAGACTCTGACTCCCACTGTCCCCGGAGATGGTTCGAACATACAGTCATTGTATGTAGCTGCGCACACATACTAATGAATCTATCCAAAAGCACAACACAAAAATAAACACACAGCAGCTTAGAAATCAGTCATTTACTGTAGACTCGTAGCAGAATATGGTAGTAATCTCTATGTATAAAATATACTGCTGGGTAAACATACAGTATGTAGCATGGGGTATACTCACAGTTTTAAAAAAATCTGTTGTAACAATTACGCTGCTATTATGCTATTTATAATTCTATTTATTTGATATCTGGGAGTCATCTTGCCACTCCTTATTGTCTCGTGACACCCTGAGTGGTCCCGACTCTCACTTTGGAAACCACTGGTCCAGTGAACTAAGCTGGAATGAGTTATTTTTATGATTATCCAGATTCTTTAAAAGTTAAATTTACCTTGTGTTTTATTTTATTTTATTCTTTTTATAAATGAGTGTGTTGTGCTGAAAACATTTTCATGGAGAAAAATGGCACTTAGTTGATTTTGCATTAAAGGAAATTGGTTCTACAGTGAGCCCTCTTCTGACCGACTTGTGCTAAAATTTCTCCACATGTCTTAGCAAAAGTTCTAAATTCTTGCACTCAGTACTGTCACTTGTCAGTTGAACAGTGTGTTTATATTTTCACTGTATAACTGTACAAGTATGAAACCTTCCCAGTACAGCAGAAGGTACAAACATCAAAAGCATGTCACTGAGTTGCCTGTATCCTGAAACATGCAAGTTTAATTCCAGCTAAAAACTCGATTATCATTCATGTCTGTTTGATTTTTGCACTGAACTTCTAACAATGTGGCACCTAGAAGCACCACAACAGTCATCTGAATGTGTTTGCAGGCTGCGTCCACTCAGGCGTCAGGTATGACCACAGAGCCACGTGGAGGCCGGCAGAGAATCCTTGTGAAGTCTGCCACTGCTCGGTGGGTTTGCTACCAACTATCTGCTGAAGTTCCCACCTGCTCATCTCTGATGACACTCTTCTGTCCTCTCGACAGGAGGGTCAGGTTCGCTGCGAGAGGGAGCGCTGCAACACCCCTTGTAAAAACCCCACCGCTCCTCCACCCAATTCCTGCTGTCCGGTCTGTCAAGGTGGGTTGGTTTGCTGTAGCATTGTGTGTGTTTAGTAGACTGAAGAGATACAGTGTGTATATGTGTGTTGTAGGCTGCAGTGTGAATGGACGTGACTTCCCAAACGGAGGTGTGGTAACGACTAGAGACCGCTGCCAGGAGTGTACATGTGTGGTATGTGCATCAGTTATTGTAAAATTAGTTGTTTTTTTGTTTATTTGTTGTTTATTTGTTGTTGTGCATAGATAAATTTAGGATCATATTATTTTAAAGTGTATTGGTTTTCTTTTTCTCTAAGAATGGAAATGTTGCATGTTCACCCCTCGCCTGTCCCGCCGTGTCTTGTCGCGACCCTGTGCATCGTCCTGGAGACTGTTGCCCACGGTAACAAGCCTGCCAAACCTCATTCTCATCACTTTTAAGGCTACATTACTTCATCTAATTAAAACCTTATTTTAAATGTGAGAATTTTTCAGACGCATTTCTTTTTGTATGATCTTTACAAATCAAAATGTTTTTACAACCTGTAGATGCGAGCAGTGTGAATATGAGTCCAGTGTGTACATGAATGGACAGAAGTTCCAATCCAGCACAGACCCCTGCCTCGACTGCCGCTGCTCTGTGAGTTTAGTGTGGCACAGTTTTTTTTTTTTTTCTTTTTTGTTATGTGACGTTCATGTGATCAGACTTATGATGTGTTGGCGAGGTTTCATGGCCCCCCAGTTCAAAAAAACCTGTCAAAACCTATTGTAAATGCGTCAAATTTAGAAATGGGACCAAGTGTGAAAACTAGGCTGTATTTATGTTCCTGGAAATGTTTGTTCAATCTTTATTTAAACTCAGAGTACATTGAGGTCTTGAAGCCTCATTTACAATGTAACCGAGTAATGAAATAAAACACGTAGGCACACAAATAAGAAACTTAGATAATGACAACGAAAAAAACATTAGAGGACAAGGTTAGTAAAAAAAAAAACAAACATTTATAAGAGCATTTAAGAATTAAAAACAAATAAATAAACTAAAACAGCAACATAAGAGACTAAAATAAGAATAAAATAAAAACCTGAATTGCCCTTCTGATTAAAAAATGACTCCAGCAGTTGCAAAGTGAGTAAAACTTTCCATAGCTTTCTAAGATCAGGAAGAAACTGCCAGAATCTGCAGTGCAATCTAATCTAATCTGTGTGTGCCAAGGGCCCACATTTGAAGACATAACAAAAGTATGAGGGTAAAAACAACAAAAAATAAATCAAACTCAGCATCTGTCCCAGCTTATAGAGAGTGAAGATCATCCAACCTCACGTACAGCTCACAGTTATGATTATTAAGACATAACAAATACAAGAAAAGGGCTTAAAAGTAGCTGTTGATGTATGCATGTGTTGCGTTTTTCTCTAGTGTAGAGGAAAACATTATGTGTCCCTGCAAAAGAAACTAAGTTTACTGTTGTGGTTTAGTCACCAGTGGGGACACATGATATTTAATTAACTATTGATTCAAATTCTCAGATATTCATACTCTCTCCATCATCTCCATGAAGAACAGTACCCTTAGGTGTCAGCTTTTTATTTAAGAAGCTATAGTTTGAAATATGCTATTAAAAAAATGTTGACTTAACTCAACTTGACAATACATCTAGCTCAGGTAAAAGGTTATTTAATTAGTTTTAGCTGCAATTAAATCTAATTTATGATCATTAGGTGCAACTTGTAACTTAGAATGTACACTATCTGCACCACAGGACAAAATTTTGTTGTCAACATAAAGATGTACATTACAAACAAATGCAAAGGAGACAGTGTCATCTATATATAAGCGGTGAACAGAGCAGGCACCAGGATTGAGCCTTGTGGGACACCTTTAGCAACTTTTGCAAATTCTGATTCAGCATTCCCAGTAGCCACATACTGCTGTGTGTCCATGAGACAGCTCTGAAACCATTGTAGCTCTTAGATTTAAGTTTTGTTTGTGATGCTGCATCAATGTGACTCATTTAGTCCCTTCCTGTCTCTATCTGTCAGGCAGGTGAAGTGTCTTGCCAACGTATGGATGCATCATGTCCACCACCGCAATGTAGTCATCCAGCCAAGCGCAAAGGAGAATGTTGCCCCACATGCAATGGTATGTTTAAAACTCTATACATAAAATGTTCTATTTTTACCAAGTTTGTTTTGCTTGTTGCATGCTGTCTGTCTTTTTGACTTGTTGTTCAAAGTCAAGCAACAACAACCCAGACTTTGCGTTTGTTCCCACAGAGTGTGAGTATGACAGGAGTGTGTATGCTGATGGAAAAGCGTTCGTCCCTGCTGGGAGCGGTCCCTGCCTGCAGTGCAGGTGTCAGGCAAGTTGCAAGGCAGTATGCTCAAACACATTCAAGTGTTGAATCTTGTTCAAAACATTTTTTCAAAGGTGAGCAAACACAGCAGGCTCTGTGTTTTATTGCCTCTTTCACAAAAGAAGGCTCGACTCTGCACTTGTTTCATGTTTCAAAACTGTCAAAGTTGTGCATTTTCTTTGTCAAGGTTATAGCACAGTATGAAAGCACACTTTTCAGAGTATCTCATGGGGCTGCACAGAATAGCTTTCACAAATCTTTATGCTGCTGTAAACAATTGCAATTTGTGCAAAATGTGTGTCTCTGCTTTAGAGCGGTAACGTGATTTGTCGTGAAGAGAAGTGCCCTCCTACCCCGTGCGCCAACCCTGTTTCAAACCCACGTCAGTGTTGTCCAGTCTGCAGAGGTAACAACACACACACACACACACGCACGCATACACACACATTCAAGGACAGTTCAAAAAGTTCTCGGCCTCACCAGGAAACATCACAGGAGAAAGATTGTTCTTGTATTATTTTTCAGCAGTGTTCTTTAACTTCAATGCACTTGGTCCACCGATGTTCCAGCTTCGCCATCCTCTGGTGGAAAAAGGTCAAATCTTGAGCCTCCAGATTCTACTCAACAGCATGTATGGGTTCATCATGACTCTGAAAATGGCGACCGTGCAAGTTGGATTTCAGTTTGGGGAACAGATAGAACTCAGACAGTGCAGGTCGGGTGAAAGAGTAAGCATGGGGCAACAGCTAAAAGCTACGTTTGACTGCTTTTGCCACCTGTGATGTGTGGACGGTCACATTGTCATAGAGCACCTAGTGATTTTCAAAAGAAATGATGATAAAAATGAGAGTTTTTGTGGACAGTGATGTAAGACTTTACCGTAAACAGGTATGCTCAATATGGGAGTTGTTTCTAGGTGAGGCTTAGAACTTTTTCAGGTACCCTCCTACACAAACACACATGCAGTTGCAGCTCATTAGTGCATGTAATATGAAATATGAAAGCCCTCCTTCATCATTGCAGCGTGTGTAGTGGAGGGGGTTGAATATGAAGAAGGCTCCAACTGGCGCCCTGAGGGTCCCTGTTCCAGCTGCACCTGTGTGAAAGGAGAGACCATATGTACACAGACTCGCTGTCCTCCCACCAACTGTCAGCATCCCACCAAGACTACTGGTAAGACTGTGTGTGAGTGTACAGATGTGCAGTTTGTGAACAGATGACTGTAACTTGTTTTTTTTTTTTTCTTTCCTGAGGCTCCTGTTGTGCCGCGTGCGAAAGCTGCACTTACAACAATCGAATCTATAGCAACGGCCAGAGGTTCACGACCCCTGACCGGCCCTGCCACGTCTGCTCCTGTCAGGTGAGCGCGTCTGTCTTCACCAACGCATTACTCGGCGCTTTCCACCTTCACACCTGCTGACACGACTTCAACCTTCCCCCTCAGCACGGCAGTGTTCAGTGCCAGAGACAGCCTTGTCCTGCGCTCAACTGCACCAACGCCTACACCCCGTCTGGAGAGTGCTGCCCGAGATGTCGAGGTACCCAAACTCGTTGTGTTGCTTCTTCATACTTGTGCGATCTTAAGGAGGTTAGACTAATATGTCTTTCATCGTTGCCAGACTGCAACTACGAAAACCGCGTGTTTGTGAATGGAGAGGCTTTTCCCAATCCCGTGAGCAGGTGTGAGGAGTGTAGGTGTGAGAGCGGAAGGGTCGACTGCCATCAACCGCAGTGTCCTCAGCCGCGCTGTAATGCACCTTTACCTGGAAAATGCTGTCGGAACAACTGCAATGGTGAGAATGAGTATTTGCAATCAGGAATATGGCTAAATTGAAGACATTACAATCACACAGTTACACACATCCCTGCATTTTATCAGGCTGCAGCTATGCGGGAAAGGAGTATCCCAATGGACAAGAGTTTCCCCATCCTACTGACCCATGCAGGACATGCACCTGTCTAGTAAGACCAATCACATCTAACTGTGTAGATCACCTGTGGTCTTCTTGAAGCAGTTCTTCATCTCTATTTGTTTTGTGTTTGTTATAGAACGGGAATGTTCAGTGTCTGATGAAGAGGTGTCCGCCACTGCCTTGCCCCAACCCTAATGTGGTGCAGGGGGACTGCTGCCCCCAGTGTCCAGGTAAGGATGTGCAATTAAAAAAAAGAGTGCAAAGTCAGAGGGATGAGATCTCTGGAATAAATATCTATAAATAATAACAGAAAGCAACAGTCCTCCTCATCCCAGAACTTAAAAATCAAAGAGTATATGTATTTTTTTTCTTCTTAAACCTGAATGTGATCCATTTTTCGACAACACAACATTCCTTAAGTTTGACCGCTTTGCTTCAGACAAATAGAAGATCTTCCTCCTCTTTTTTTGCTTCTTGGCTTATGACAGCACATCAGTCATGATATGGACTTTGAAGCTGAAAACTGCAGACTTTTTGTTGATTTTTTCACCGTTCCTCCTCCAGCTCCTCCATCAGACTGTGTGTACGAACGACAGTCATACAGACACACTGAACGTTTCTACCACCCGTCTGACAACTGTCAATCATGCGGCTGCAACAACGGGACGGTTCACTGCCAGCGCAAGCCCTGCCCCTTTACTCGATGTTCTCACCCCATCACACAAGACTGCTGCCGCACCTGCGAAGGTACAAGTTCATACGTCAAAGTACCACAACTTAAAAACAAAAAGTTTTTGGATATTTGATGCTGTTGTAAATTCAGTCTACACATTTATTCTCAAGGATCTCCATGATTCTGTTACAGGCTGCCTACATGAGGGTCGAGAGCGAGCTAACGGGGAGACGTGGGAAGTCGCGTCAGACCAGTGTTCCACGTGTGTTTGTCGCGAGGGCTCCGTCCAGTGTGAGAGGAAACGCTGTCCGCCCTCCAACTGCAAACACCCAGTCCAGAGACAGTGCTGCCAGTCCTGTGATGGTAAGCAACTGGAAAAACCTAGAAGTAATCAGACTTTCCAGGAACATTTTTCCAGTTACTGTCACTGATTCTCTTTTAATATTTTGCTTCTTGCAGGCTGCGTGTTTCGTGGTAAAGAATATCATGACGGCACTGAGTTTGCTGATGACAGAGACCCCTGCAGTGTTTGTTACTGTTACGGAGGGGACGTCACCTGCACCAAGATGCCCTGCCATGGAGAGTGCAGCCATCCTTACAAACCACCCGGGCAATGCTGTGGAGAATGTGACCGTACGTATAGTCGGAAACTATTCTGATCTTAATTTAAACTTAGTTTGTCACTCCTGAGATTACAAAGTGACCTACCTGTCTTCGTTTGTCAGGCTGTCTCTATAACGGCGCGGTCCTCGTTAGTGGACAGTCCATCTCTGACCCAGGAAACCCCTGCTCTGAATGTACCTGCCAGGTAGCATCAACACACACAGGCTAAGCATTCATGCAGGTTAGCTTCTCTAGACAACACCTCAAGCTTGTTTTCTCTTTCAGAGCGGCTCAGTGCGATGCTTGAGGCAGCAGTGTCCACCGGCCCCTTGTCCTCATCCGATCACCAGCCCATGTGGCTGCCCCGTCTGCGATGGTACCCAGCTTACAACATTTCACAGCTCATCTTATGTGGAGCAAGTAAGTAACTGAGCTTCACTGTGTTTCTAGGTTGCCAGTTCCAAGGTGTGACTTATGTTGACGGACAGATGCTTCCCGGAGGAGACCGAGGCTGCCAGGACTGCACATGCTCAGTGAGTGCATTAGTTCGACTTGCTGCATCCTCACAGCTACTGTACTTCTTAACTGTCTCTTTTTTCCACAGAGAGGTGAGGTGGTTTGTGCACAGAAGAGATGCCCTGCCGTTTCGTGCCCAAACCCAGTTCTGGACAGGTGTGCGTGTGGAGTGTGCGACGGGTGTAACTTTAACGGACGAGACTGTTATAACGGAGAGCGATTCCCACATCCTACAGACCGCTGCCAGCACTGCTCCTGCCTGGTACTGTCATGCACATACGGCCTATTCCAGTTGTATCCACTGTAGATTTTATCTCACTGGTTTTTGAGCACATCAAAGACACTGGGAGATAACAAATTAATCAAACACTTTCTAGTAAAAAATGTGAGGTTACAGGTTTATATTAAAGAAACAGTCCAACCAAAAAGAGTATCGTAACCTGTTACTGGTAGGACGGAAAAGTTTGCAGTTTGTTTCCTTCACAGAGGATGGCAACTGTAATCTGATTTACAGCAATTATAAAGGATTTCAGAGGAGACCAGCAAAACTAAAATGTATTAAAATGGATAGAAACACAACACCTGCCCTTTCTGCTATTAAACCTTTTGTCCAATAAGTTACAAACATTAATTGCATTATGAAAAAACTGCTAAAAGTGATAGTTTAGGTCAAACTTTTTATTTAGAGCTATAATGAAATGACAGCACAGCATGCCAGGAGTATATTTGAGGAGATTTGTGTCTTACAGTAATTTTTTAAGCATGTAGACGATATTTGAGACTCAAAAAATAGATTTTCAGTGAACTGTTTTACTTTGAACCCACCACGCCATCCTTAGCAAGGAGACTGGAATACATTTTGCATATGCATAAACATTTCTAAATCCTCAGGTGTATAAGATCATAACAGACTTTTTAAGAAGCAGTTTTGAACTTAAGTGTATGTGTTTGTTTGTGTATAGAATGGCGCTGTGGTGTGTTCACGTGCACCTTGTCCAAACACTGCCTGCGGACGTCCGGTGACTCCTCCAGGGGAGTGCTGCCCTGTCTGCACAGGGATGTGTTTGCATCACGGCAGACAGCATCAGTCAGGCTCCACCTTCACATCACCCTCTGATCCCTGCTCTTCCTGCTCCTGTCTGGTCAGTCAAATTCTTACTGAATGAAAAAAGACAATAATATGTCAAAGAAACTGATGAGTTAATCCTTTCCATCTTTTATGCTTCCATCAGAATGAGGTGGTGAACTGTCAGAGGAGACCTTGTCCAGTCCAGTGCTCCCATCCCGCCCGTTCAGATACCTGCTGTCCCGTCTGTGACTCCTGTCTGTATGAGGGAGCTGTGCATTCTCATGGTCAAACCTTCGCTTCCTCGTCCAACCCCTGCCAGCGCTGCTCCTGCGTCAGAGGCACTGTTACCTGTGTGCCCCAAGTCTGCCCGCAAACGTCCTGCAATCGACCTGTTGTGAAATCGGGACAGTGTTGTCCTGAATGTCCAGGTACTTGAATTATTCGCATGAAATAAAATTTTGATCCCAGTATTTAATCCTCTGAATCCCAACACCCCTTTGGCACACTTGAAAGGAATGTTATATCTTTAAATTTGGTGAAATTGCGTGATTTTTTTAGAGTCAGAAACTGTAAAAACAGAAAAAAATGTTTAACTTCCAAACAGATTTTGAAGTACTCATCAATGACATGTTGTTTCACCAGAAAACTTACCAAACCTGAGTTTAAAATTGTGGTATTTCATCCAAATCACTTTATTTTACGTCTCATTTCAAAAATGCCAAAAAACAAATAATTTGCACGATTCAGATTCATAAAAACAAAAAAAAAAATCTTTGATCCTCAGCCTAACCATGAACCCATTAGTGACTCAGCTGCGAACAGTCATGTGACGGAAATTCAGAGACTTTTCGGCTTAACTGCAGGCTGTGTTTATACAGAGCAGATAGGACACACGTATGGAAACAAAATTTTCAAAGATACGGGAGTAATGAGTCCACATTGAGTAAAAATGTAACAGGAGCCAAAAAAAAAAACTGCTTGGCGTTGAGAAGGTGAGTGTAAATTTGCCCCATGTCTCCAATAAAAACAGGCAGCTTACAATTTTTATGCATGAGACAGACAGAAGTTGTTAGTGCACATATGCTTTTGGGAATTTTCGAAATATGCTCTAATCGTAGCAAAACACTTATCAAATACTGAGTCTCCTGTTCTTTTCTAGTATTTTCCATGACTGACAAAAACAGTCTTTAAGAAAGTAAATGGACAATTCAGAGAACAACATGATGTAATTCTGTATTTATGATTTACTACAAAATAATAAATAAATATTTATATATTTATGTTGTATAGAATTACATTTGATTCATGTCTCTTTTCTGTTCTGAAAAACGTCTATATTATAATATGTCGCGCAGCAAAACAGAAAATTATGATCCTCAAGACTAATTTAAATACCAGTTCCAACGTTTCTTTGACTTGTAACCTTATTATTGATAAGGAGCGAAAAGAAAAGCCATTTTAAACTCACTCTTTGTCCTCTTCTACCTTCCGTCTGCCTGTGTCTCTCGTCTCTCTTTGGTCTCAGTGTGTATGCTGGAAGGACAGGAGTTTCGTGACGGACAGACATGGCCCCTGACTTCAAACCGCTGCTCCACCTGCACCTGCCAGGTCTGACTTTGTGAATCTTGCCTCCAAACCTAATTTTTCTCTCCCTACTTGCCCTCTTCCTAAGGTTTGATCTGTCTTGCAGACAGGTGAGGTGCGCTGCACGTCTCCCAACTGTCCCAAGCTGTCCTGTATGCATCAGGTGACGGATCCAGGCGCCTGCTGTCCGCGCTGTAGAGGTAAAATACACAGTTCAGAAATGAAAATCACAGGAGGAACAGACTGACAATGACTGAATATTCCTTCTCAGGTTGTATTTATGGAGGAGAGGAGCATGCAGAGGGCAGCAGCTGGTTTGCAGACTCCACTCCCTGTATGACCTGCATGTGTGTGGACGGAGTGACCACCTGCTCTGAAGTACGCTGCCTGTCTCCGTGTGTCAACTTCATCAATGTGCCCGGGGAGTGCTGCCCGGTGTGTGCCGGTAAGCAGATCCACATAATCCTCTCTGAAGCCTCTCCTTGTTATGAAAGGTTCTAAACCTATACGTTTAATATTGGTTATATATTTCACAGCCTGTCTTCTTGGTGTTTGATCATTTCATATGCTGCTCTTGTGTAGACTGCGTTTTTGAGGGCAAAGTTTACGGCCCAGGTGACAGCTTCCATCCAGCCGATGACCCCTGTCAGATCTGCACATGCGAGGTATTACATTAAAACCAGGCATATGATGCATTCATAGTGAATGATAAGTTCTGTTTATTTATGTTCATGTGCTGCCATATTTTATATACTTATGTATGTAAAATTTATATTTGTGTATAAAACATCAGACTAAGTTCCCCCAAAGCGATGCAAATTTTTGGAATAGTTTGTTAAGGACAGGTTTGTTAAGTGGTTCAGAAATTCTGATTCTTAGCATCAGAGGGAGAAGCACTGGAAATATGAAAATGTATGCAAGAAGATGCCCTGAAGAAAAAGAAGGGATAAGAATTTGGGAGGATTTTGGAAGAGTTTTGAGAGGGTTATAATTGCTTAACCCTCCTATTACCTTCAGATTTACTGACATCTTTTATCCTTGGGTTCAATTTGACCTCAGCAATTTAAACCTCCAGAAAATAGCATAATTAAAATTGTTACCCAAGTTTATGTATAAATAGCCCTTTAAATAAAGCTAAAAATATATATACCAGTGACTGATTTAGAGATGTTAAACACTGAATGGGGTCAAACTGACCCCAAAGATAATAGGAGGGTTAAAAATCTTATGTATGTTGTTAAAATACTCCAATGCAGACATGAAAATCTGAGATTTTTATACAATAAAAGAGATCTTAAATATAGCTACTCTTCTCCAAGTTATTTGTGCTACAATGTAAAATCTACAGTGGTGTCATAGAAGTTTTAATATAAGCAACAGTAGCAGCATTAATCAAATCTCTTCTTTTCTTAGATGATGCCAGACGGACAACAACACCTGAGATGTTACCGAAAGCAGTGTCCCAGTCTGGTTGACTGTCCTAAGAGCAACATCTTGTTCTCTGGACCAGACTCCTGCTGTCCTGTCTGTGCACGTCAGTACTAAACTGCACTTACACGTGTTTTACGGCTGCGCTGAACTTTATAACATTTCTGTTTATATGTTTAGAGCCTCTGAGTAACTGTACGGCCAAGCTGATCGGCAACGAGGTGCTGGCAACAGACGACCCCTGTTTTACCTGCCAGTGCAAGGTGAAACAGCAGCAGCGCTCTTTTGTGTCAGGAATGTTGTTTAGAACATTAAGTGATGTTTGAATTTAAGTGGAGTGAAGAAACAAATGATATCATGGTGCAATCATTGTTTCTAAATTCAAACACAGTGAGTTTTATTGATCGTTCAGTTATTGGTAATGCTTAATCTACTCCTTGCAGCAACACTGTTTCTCTCTGACACAGGACCTGACATGGACCTGCTTACACCAAAACTGCCCTCCGCTCTCTTGCCCCCCTAATGAACAGTTCACCCCTCCAGACGGCTGTTGCCCCGTTTGCAGAAGTATATTTTTATGCCTCTAATGGTCACGTCATACCCTACAATCACTTGTTGATAAAAAAAAAAAAAAAAAAAACATCCCTAACTACGATGTTTCTTGCAGATTGTGTGATTGAGAGTCAGAACCAGCGCGTGAGCAACGGCACCAGCTGGACAGACAGCGATGACGACTGCATCACCTGCACCTGTAACGTGAGTCGGACAGAAATACTTACACTTCTAATGAAATGCATCAAGAAGAGAAATAGCTTTTATTTATTGCATTTTTCAAACAACACTTGAAGAGCTAATTTGCAAAAACAGATAACTCCATCTTCACAAACCTTAAGAAAACCCACTTTTCCATCATCTACCTGAGACAATATCAATCAAACTTAAGCTATCTCTACTTTTGTCGTGTCATTTCTACTGAGTCAAATCCACTCAACTTCAGTTTGATTGATGTTACCTCAAGCAAACAATGAAAAGATAAGTTTTCTGAAAATCTACAAAAATTGAGTTCGTTTGTAAGAGCAACACAAATTACAGGGTTAAACAACTAGAATGAGGTCTTAATGGCATAATTCTGACTGTGAAAAGTCCTAAGATCAGTTATGTAATTAGAAAATTAATTTTGAAACTCAAGAGTCAGCGTAGAGAGGAGAAGCAGAAAGAAATGTGGCCTCACCTCTTTCAGTACGGTAGCAGCTTTACAATGTAGTCAGTAACGTTTTCCTAGTGAGACCAGGCTGAATGAAATAAAAGCATGACTAATCCTTTTAAGATCTGCAACTAGGGAGTGTGTGATTCTGATGAGGTCTCTTTGTTAAGGAAAATATTTAAATTACACTTCAATAAAGGCATAGCACTAAGAGCCAATATTACATAACAGATTTCCTCAACTAGACCTGAGATTGTCGATACACTTTGTATGTATTCGGATCATTTGCCTCTGAAATAACTTGTTTTTTCTGGATTCTTCCTCAGTTGGGCTACATTGAGTGCAGCATTCAAGAGTGTTCACCTGAGGTTTGTCTCAGTGGCCAAAAACAAGTGAAGACTCCTGGGAAATGCTGCCCTGAATGTCAAAGTATCACAGGTAGCAGATGAAGTGAGCTGACACAGCTGTAGTGTTAACTGAAAGTTATGTCTGTCAAGTTTCACGCGTGTGTGTGTGTGTGTGTCTTCTGTGTGTGCGTTGCAGACTCAGAGGCGTCGTGTTTGTACCAGGGGACAGTGTATCACTCTAATGAACAGTGGGAGGTGGATGAGTGTACCAGCTGTACATGTGTGTCTGGAGACGTACACTGTCGCAGTGAACGCTGCCCTCGCCTCACCTGCGCAACAGTCAGTACAACAAACACACTCTCGCTTTCTCCGTGTTTCATCATAGACTGAAATGTTCCCGTGATGCCTCGCTGTTCTCACCCTTCAGTCTGTAGAGAATCTGACATTTCTCATCACTGTTTACACTGCGGCAGATATTTATTTAGCTTCCACTGAGTCTCTGGTGTTCGCTATAGCTACACAGTCGGTGTAATACACTTTGTGTGTGTGTGTCTGCTGTCAGGATGAGATGCCAGCAGCCTTTCCAGGTTTGTGCTGTCCTCACTGCCTTCCTCGTCCGGCTACCTGCATTGCCTTTGGCGACCCTCATTACCGGACCTTCGACGGCCGCATGCTGCACTTCCAGGGGACGTGCACCTACGTCCTGGCTCAGGATTGTGAAGGAGGGGACTTCAGGTGAGACGGTCACCATGGTTACCCAAGCAGGTGTAATATGGCAGTAGACATGTTTGGTTTACCATTTTCTAATTGTTGATTTGTTCTTTGGAAATATTAAGTAAATACATCACCTCCTGCCTTCTAAACATCCTTCAAATTAAGATAAGATAAGATAAGATATGCCTTTATTTATCTCGCAAGGAGAAATTCACGTCGTTGACAGCAGCTTTCAACAGATGTACACAGATACGAAAAAACAAAAAATAAAAAATGTACATATAAATATCAGATTTTAAATGATATAACAAGGAAAACACTGTCTTGGGTTCAACCACTACCAACTAATGTCACCTTCAAGGCTGCTAGGTCTTTTTTATAGGCTTGGAAAGTCGCAGGCTGGTTTACAAGCAGAAAACTTGGTCATTGCCACCCTGCATTTCCTCCAGTTTTTAGCAGAACTGATGCATCAATAATATAATGTGGACTTCTGTTTTGTTTTGTTTTACAGTGAATGTAGGTCAGGGAAACTAACATATTGTTTATCTGCAAGCTTACAGCATCTTTGCACACACTTTTACTGCAATCCCGCAGCATTTCATGAGTCAATTATGGATAGTGCGCAGACGTTGACAAGTTCGTGCAAGACAAATCAAATGTAAAGTGACCTTTTGACTTTTCAATATGATACAGCAATTTCTGACACCATCCCAGTTTGTACTTCTGGTCCTAATGTGCCACTTTTCAACATATTTTAAACCAAACCTTCTGTCAAATAATAAAGTTGAAGATGACGTTGTTTTTGCAGTGGAAGTGGTTCTAATGTAGCTCAAGAACCAGAATTCAAGCAATTTTGTGTTGGTCAAAATCGGGTCTTAACCTTTCTTCAAGTTCTGAAATGATTTTATTTTTTTTTAGCATGCTTAAGTTCTGTATTTATACGAGTTTTCTTTTCTTTTCTTTCTTTCTTTTTAAATCTAAAAGTGTATAAAAAGTTAATAGGAGAACAAATAATTCTCAATGACTCCTCTTTGTTTGCACAGTATTCATGCCACAAATGATGATCGTGGACGTAAAGGAGTGTCCTGGACTAAAGAGGTGACTGTGTTTTTAGGAGACGTCGAAGTGCAGCTGCTCCAGGACTGGGTTGTGAAGGTCTGTATGCAAAAGTGCAACAAATAGTTTTATACAGTCATTTTTTGAGTCATACATCCAATCAGCCATTTTTGCACTCCTCAGGTGAACAACAAGGTTGTGACTTTGCCGTTCCTCAGAGAACCATACATCTATATCGAACGACAAACCAACACTATATTACTCAACACTAACATTGGGCTGAAGGTACAGTTTTTCTTTTTGTCTCTGAAAGTTTTGGGCAGTATTTTAACACACTTACACACCCGCTGGTCCACCTGTAGGTGCTATGGAGTCCTCGTTCACACGTGGAAGTGAGCGTGCCGGGCTCCTATAAGGGCAACACCTGTGGTCTTTGTGGAAACTTCAATAACTACTACCAGGACGACCTCCGAATGCCCAGCGGACGACTCAGCCTTTCAGAATCTGACTTTGGCAACAGCTGGAGGGTAAAACAAATACACAGAAGCAATAATGAATGAAAGACTAAATTACATACAAAAATAAGCAGATTGACAGAATGCAAACCGGATACCTCTGTCGTTTCAGGTCAGAAATGGCAGCCATTCCGTGTCATCCTGCCGTCCTGGTGAGGAGGTGGACCCCTGTAAGGACGCAGGCTACCAGGCCAAGAAGGGGGCCAACAATCGCTGTAAGGTCCTGAAGTCCGCTGCCTTTAAGGCGTGTCACCGCGTGGTGCCTCCTGAGCCGTGGTACGGAGCCTGCGTATATGACCTCTGTGCTTGTGGGGCCAATGCTGATGAGTGCCTGTGTGACACACTGGAGGCCTACGCCAGCCAGTGCAGACAGGCTGGAGTCGTCCTGCAGTGGAGGAGCTCGTCGCTGTGTGGTGAGTAAAACATACAGCTTATGGATATGCTGGTGGGCACTATGAGGAAAGTGACTTGAATCTGCTAACCTTAATGTGTCATGTAATTATGAAAACTAACTTGATTTACACTTTCAGGGGCTTTAAACATCTATTATCTGCCGATGAATCAGTAAGAAAAATAGGAGATGTCCGTCTGTGATCTGCATTTGTGAGCACCTGCAGTAAAATGTTATAATAATGTTTTGTTTTTTTATCTCTAGATCTCAACACGACTACTCAGTGATGTTTTTTCATGTTATACCAGAGCACAGAGGCCACTCCTCACTTGTAAAAAAGTGACCTTATTGTTATCAGCCACCTGCTACCTACTTGGCATCATTAAATGTCAACATAAGGCAAACCCTCAAAGTCGCAGCGGTCACGGTGTTTCTTAGTGTCTGCCTCATTGTTCTTTCTTTGCTCCTGTCTTCCACAGCTGTGGGCTGTCCAGTGGAGAGGGGCTTTGTGTTTGACGAGTGCGGCCCCCCGTGTCCTAAGACCTGCTTTAATGTCGACGTACCGCTCGGGGTGATCGAGAGTCACTGCTTCAAGCCCTGCGTCCCCGGCTGCCAGTGTCCCGCCGGTCTGGTTCTACACAACAACTACTGCATCCAGCCGGAAAAGTGCCCCAAGATCATTCATGGCAACCCTTCGTGATGCTCGAACTGAACCCTCACTTGTTCGCACACACACATGCACTGCTAACTCTGCATCAGCCTCCTGTTACTGCATAGCAAAAGTTTGAAATGGAAAAAAAAATATCCAGACAAACTTCCCAAACCTGTGGATCCTACATATCGACTGAAGTGGAATACTGCATTTTTGTGTTATTATAAATATTATATTTAGCACTGAATATTTATACAAAACCACAATTTGCCATTTTACTTCGTACATGTTGATTGGTGCTTATCCTACCTATTTTGAGTTACACATTTATGAGATATTGTTTTAACAGTATTTTTTCACTATTAAAAAAAAAAACAAACATTTTTTTATTGTGCTGATTAAATTTCATCACTGTGCAATGTCTGACTGTATATACAGTAAGCCACATAATCTCAGGTACTCTTCTTTTTCTACTCCATTTTTACAAATAAACCAAGCTTT